AAGAGCTTTTATCTCGTGACGAGAAACAAAAAAAAACTTTTGATGTCTTAGAGCTTAATTTACAGTTTTGTTCTCTTTTCTGTTTCATTCTTTAAAAAACATTTTCATTATTTTTTTTTCCTTCTTTTTAATGCTTTAATAATTAAATTCTCCCTATCTCACTGATCACTGTAAAGTCTGCTTTTATAGCCGTTCATTGCCTTTTTCTCTGTATCTGTATCTGCTCTAATAAAAATTTACAGTATGAAATTAAGTTTAAGATACAAAATACACAGTACTTTTGTAAATGTATAGGAATGAGTGCTTTGATTATCAATAATGATCCATTACCTTGCGCTGTCTATCTTCCTATCTTTCTCTGTCCATCTATCTGTTTAGTTTTATTTTCAATTCTTGTCATCATTTCTCATTATTATTTTGTAAGTATGACAATTTCTGTTCCTTCCTTTAACAGTCAAACTTTCTATGATTCCCAAGCTAATTAATTAATTAAGCAGAACAAAAAGTATGTTGAATATATAATTTCTTTTAATTTTTTCTCATTGCTCACATCAGGATGATGAAAAAATATGTACAGTGATGATTCCGATGTTGTGAAGCCTAAATAATTCTGTATGATTTTTAGTATATACTCAAAAATTATATATATTTTTTCATACATTCCATGAACAGATCATGTGAATTTATTACAGCATTGTATCGTAATGTCTGCGTTCGTGTACACTCACTGAATAATTAATTATTACTTAACATTTTTTTTTGAGACTAGATGAAGTAATCGAAAGAGAAAAATAGTTTTGATATCGCTTCTTTCAATTACTGAGTCTCGTTTCTTGTTAACACTGGGGTGGGATTCTTTTCCATTAGTTCTACTCACTGAGCTTACACATTAGGATGAATTGCTTTCTTGGAATATGAAGTGGTTATGAAAAATTGAAACTATTTCATTGAATCTGTTTATACTCTACCTCAAATTTGTTATTTATTACTTAACTTAGGGTATTCACTTTGTGAAGTTAAAATACCAACTTGAAAATGCATTGATTAGACTTTTGAGTATTAAATTCTCAGCATGTACTTAAAATACTATAATACGGAATAAATATGTTACGATGTAAAGTTCATGTAATGTCTTGAGCAATATGCGAATCCTTGTCATATCGACAACACTTTAATAAACAATTATAGAGATTGTTCTCTGGTGGGAATAGAACCCACATCCACTCAAAAGGCGGTTAAAGATATTCTATATGTTGCCTAGTCATTTGCGCCACAGAGTCCTTACTCTCGCATTGGCAGATTCGCTTATATGGCTCGCTTATATGGCTCGATACCCCAGATTCTACTCAGCTCCAAAACCATAGTTCATAAAAATTTCAGACGAGCATGATGAACCTTTCTTTTTGGTTTAAAGAGGCTTTAAACTTATAATTAAGAATGAAATATTGTTCTTAGATCTTTCGATCAAGTTGTTCTTATTTGTTCTTACAATTCAAACTTGTTCAAATCACAATTGTTATTAATTGTAACCCAAATTATTAATGTTTTTCCCAGTTTATCCAACACCAGTCACAATGTTAAAGAAGAAGATCAGAGATAAATCTTTGATTCATAATTAAATGTCTTCAATTTACTGAAAATTTTAAGATTTTTCTTAAATATTGTTTTACATTAAATCTAATGTTAGATTGCACTATCCTTACAACCATATACCTCCCGTATACCTCAATAGAAGTGCTTTTTCTTTAGAAAAATGAGATTATTATCTAATAATATAAAAAAATTATAGCTATGCAGGGGCTTAGCTGCTGCTCAAAAATGCAAATAAAATACAGAACAACTTTTCGAACAACATCTCATCTTCAGCATAAAGGAACTGAAAACTTAAAAATACTCTACAAAATTCAATTTTTTTTGAAAATTTATTAATATAATACAAAAAACTATAAAAATATCAATTTAATAATTAAATGTTATGAAAAATCTATTACAAATTGTCCATTTGAATGTTATTTGTAGTTGAAATTTTAATGAAGTTTCAAAATTTTCAAAATAATAAATAAAACATCCTTAATTCTACTAGCAAAATAATACTGAATTTTAATAATATGGTTGTTTTAAAATCAAACTTTTATAAAAACACGAGCCATTATCAAAAATTAAAAAATATATTTTATTTCTTTTAAAATAAACTTAAAAGTTTACAAAACTTTGTGAATTGGAAATTTGATAAATTTTCCAACCTCAAAAACAAAATCCACACGTGCTGTTCGATGTGGAAATGTTTGAGAATTTCTCATTAAGAGGTAGAGGAGGTTGATGACGAGTAGTTCTAACAGAAAAGTACCTCACTTCAGTCATGTTTTTATTTTTGCGTGATTGCATCAAATCGAAGAACTCAAAAGTAACAATAAAAACTTGACATAAAACCAATGAAATGAATGAATTTTCTTCAAATAGTGGAAACCAAATCAAATTTTAACAAAATAAAAATGTGATAAAAAAATTACTAACGTCACCTTATGACGTGACCCATTGCCGATTGCATAAAAATGTAACCAACAAACGAAAAATTAGTTTTTACAAAATTTTTAAAAAATCAGTAAGAATTTTTTTCATGTTTTTTAAAAAAGTATTTATTTTAGTCAAGTTTCTCAATTTACTTCCTCTCTTTAGTTTAGCTTATTCTTTTAATGTCTGTATAAGTTGACAAATTTTCTCTTATATTTGACTATTTTTCTCTAATTAGATTATTATAAACTTAAAAGTTAAACTTAAAAAATTACTTAAAAAACAATATGTCATGTACATAACCTAAAAAAAATCGCATTTCATTTTGCATCTATTCATCCTTAACAAAATTTCATCTATTCGCTTATATAAAATAAAAATCTTTGTAATGAGTCCATTTTATTCACGAAAAAAGCTGTTTGAACACTATGAACGAAATTAAAGACGTTTTTCGCAATAAAAAAATAAAATATCACTAATTTGTTCAACACTTTTTAGTGCACTTATGTTTAATTTTGGAAAGCTTTTAGTTCTTTATTTCTTCTTTTTTTAACTCCAACCCCTCTATTTTCATATATTTCTTTGTTTATTGCCCGGAAGCTCTTTGTCGTAGTCTTTTGAAAGCTTTTCTTTTTTGCCAGTTCCTCAGCTTTTTGTTCTATGACTGTAAATATGTTTTAACACTTTCAAGATTGACATGTAATTTATAATTTCTAGTTAGAATAATTACATTATATGCTTATCATGAATAATTTTTATCATTTAATTATTTATATTTTTACTTTGCCCCTCCGTTCTTTGCTATGTTTATGTAATGAATGTACATTTTTTTAACTTGCTTTACTTTTTTAATTAATGTTGTTGTTGTGTACATATTAATATTCTAGCATAAATTATGTTGAATATTAATTTTTTTTTCACATCAGAGTTGATATTTGAGGGTGATTCTCGTGGGGATTGAGTTGATGAAATTTATTGGTCAAATTTTTTTGGGAATAAATTTGACATTTTTTTTAACATCCTTATCATGTTTTTTTGGTACATGCTCCATTATCGAAGCTAATATAATGATAATAATTTAATTTACATCAAAATTCCAGTGGGACTAGCTTGGCTTACGTGAGATTTATTTGCATGATGAGGCTGAGCTAAGCTTTTGATAATTTTTTTTTATAATAAATAATTTTAAATTCTTTTTATCTTTAAAATAAAGTCAAGAATTTTTAAGAATTTTTAAAGATTTTTGCTTTGAATGACATGAATTTACTGCCTTAATAATAAATAAATAAATAAATAATTTTAGGGGTTATCCAAAGTAAACTAGCATCATTCATGTATTTGATGCTAGATTTCTTAGACCAGGACTTCTCAAACTACGTAATGACAGATATACTAAGATTTTTTAAACAAATCTTAGAAATTGACTTTTGAGCAGAGTTTGAAGTCAAGTATATTTGACTTCGAAGTATGCTTTAAAATAAATTTACAAATCCAAAACCTCAACAGGGAATACATCAATAACTGGTTTCTTAGATATACCGTATAGTATATTCCAGCTGTACATTTTAGTATAGCTAGAGTATACCCGATACATTATACGACTCGCTTATGACATGAAAATTTGCATATAAAAAAAATTCATCCATCAACTCTTAGATACCAACTCTGATCATATCCATCAAAATGAGAGTTTTTCAAAAGTAAAAAAAATTATGAATATGAAACCAAAACAGAACAAAAAAAATGTAACGATCATTAAAAATTCAAATCTCGGCATTCATTCATTTATAAATACACTTGCTCACAATTTGTTAACAACAAAACTGCAAGTCTTTCGTCCTAGGAATGGATGAATGAATGAATGAATGAAACATAATAAAGCGAGAAAGAAAGAACAAAATTATAATAAAAATATATAATTTGTTGAATAAATTTTTGCCTGTTTGCGCTCTCTCAAGTTTGCGATTGTAACGACAAAATGGCATGTTTGAGGTCATACTTATTCATGCGCCTTATAACAACCTCTTTTTCATCATCATCATCATCATCATCATCAATTGTATGTACTTTATTTTACTAGTTACATAGAGTACACGCTAGTATTTTCATACATACATCTATATATGATTTTTTATTTTTGTTCTGTAGATCTGTATATACAGTTAAAGTGAGAGAGCGAGAGAGAGTGAGTAAAAGCTGAAAAGAAGAACAACAGAAAAATTTACATGAAAAACTCACATTTTGAATAATAAATGTGTATACATAATGCAACGCTTTATAATTAAAATTTTAATGTTATGCTTAAATATTTAAAATTTATTCCAATATTATCATACTAATGGCGTTTTTTATTCATTTCTCTTCTACCTTCCTTCCTTACAATTCTAATAACTGCCATTCTACTACTGCTACTACTACTACTCACTACATCTACGCCTATATCTGCAATTTATCCTGCTACACTCTTATGTAACCAAACAATGTTACAGGACTTTACGTTGGATTTTTACTTTCGTCAATTTTGGACAGATCCAAGATTAGCTTATAGAAAGAGGCCTGGAGTCGAGCAACTATCTGTTGGTTCTGACTTCGTTAAAAGTATTTGGGTGCCGGATACGTTCTTTGTTAATGAAAAACAGTCTTACTTTCATATAGCTACAACTAGTAATGAGTTTATTAGAGTTCACCATTCAGGTGCAATCACTAGAAGTATGCGGTAAGGATTATGAACAATTTTCATATTTTTGAATGATATTTGTGTGTAAGATTATTTTATGAAACCTTTTTAAGAGAGTTTATTTTTTTAATGAGTGCATGTTAAGCTTAATTACCCTTAAAATTGTTCTACTCTTGAAGTTCTTTTGAGAAAATTTTGAATTTTAGTAAAAACGTTCTTTTTGAGACTTGAATAATAGGCATTATTTGATATGATATTATGAGCTGGTTAATACAACAACGAAAAACCTGGGAGCTCTCATTTAGGATTCAACCAACTTTGCTTATAGGTATTATCCAAGCAATTACAAGAACTTTTTAAAATTCATTAAAAACAAAGGATTTCAGTCCAGATACGATTGAAATCCTATTATTTTGAATTATTGGAGTCATATTAGACCAATTCAACTCTAATTAGATTTATTTGCCTCTCTAAGACTAATTAGAATAATTCTTATGTTTATACATCCATAAAAAATCAAGAAACTTGATCGCTCACATAAACAGAACATTGTTCATAAGCACTACCTAATAGATTGTGTAGAATCTACCTTCAACCTCTTTATTGGTGCTCAAATGATGATTTTATTGAGCCATTAGCCTTTGACACCTAACCTTAAAAGATAATATAGCATAACACTAATCAATCTAGTCCAATAAGAGTCTATGTTCTTGAAATTTTCTCAATAGAATTTACAAATCATTAAAGCTATAACTTTTCTATTCTTCCTATTCAGCATATAAAAAATTTTTGTTTTAAAAAAATAATAAAATTCAAATAATGACACAATTTTAACATTTTTTCAGATTAACAATTACAGCCTCATGTCCAATGAATTTACAATACTTTCCTATGGATCGACAATTGTGTCATATCGAAATCGAAAGTTGTAAGTAGTAAAATTTTTCAATTTTTCTTAATACTTAATTCTTTAATAAATATATATATTGAATCTATATAATATGTATTATTTATAAAAGACCGCATTAAATTGCTATTGAAATGAATATTACACACATAATGCAAATGAGAAAATCTAAGAAAAGAATAAATTTTTTAAAACCCTTTATTATTAATTAAGGGTGCATCTTAACATAATAATTAATTAATTTTAAAATTGCTTAGATGACTAATATCACTAAAATAATAATAAAATTGAGGTTATACGGTATTTTACATTTAACAAAATAAAAACAAAAAAATACTTCAAGTATATTTCTCGGAAATAAAATCATTATATATCAAGCAACGAGGAATTAATCATTAAACTAATTAATGATGATTAATTATAATTTTTTTTATCTATCTACATTACTTAATGTATCCACTTTATTATTATTTTTTCTCATTTAGTTTAAATTTCTTTCTTTTATATTAATTAAGTGCATTTTTGAGTGATGAGATGAATGAATTGCGGTGTTGGGGGCTTTTTGAGAGCTATTCTGCTGTATACGAAACAAAAATTAAAAAAAAAGCGTGCAGTTTTTCAAAATATTTTTTAAAATTTCTTTGAGATTCGAACTCTATCTCTTAATTCAATATAAATTTGTGCCAATTTTCTATGTTTGATCTAATATTAGTAACGTGTCTTAAAATGCTTAACTTTAAAAGTGCCTTTAATAGCTAGATAGCTTCTATCTGTCCAAGAGATTTCCACTTCACGTATTCTTTAAACCGTCCATTTTAAATTCAATAATATTTCGTCTAAAAGAATCAGAACATTTCCCAATAAATCAAGTTGAAATAAATTAGAATTTCTCGAATTACTGAGAACCTAAATAACTGTGTATCATAATAATTTCATGATAAATGGCATAATTAGTCATTATTTTCTCTCATTCAATAAATTTTAAATTGAATTTTCTAAACAAATATTTACTGACAGTTGATAAATGAGAACTAATCTATCAAAATCCCACACATAAATTTCAATAATTGGCTCCCCCTTAAAATACACTAACTGTTTTCAAATATGTCGCCAAAAAATCAAACAGCTTTCATTAGCCTCTAATTACTCAACTAAAAAATTCATAGGTTAACCAATTCATTTGACTCATCACGCGATTAAGTTTTTTTTTGCGAATAAATAAAAAAAGTACATACATACAGTAAAGAAAGAAATCCAAAAGTGACGGGATAAATCTACAAGCATTCACAAATGCATACATAGATTTCCATTAGTGCTATATAATTAATAACAAAAAAAGCAGTACGTGTGATTATTAAGTCAAATCTGATACGTTCAATTCATGTTCGACAGACTTATCGAAAGTCAAGGGGTGTTTTAATATGCACGTTCGAAAAATTTAAATTTGAAAAACCGTTACAATTTTTTGTTATTTTATTCAAGTTTTTGATAGTTTTGAAATCAGATTTAGCTATATTATGCTTATTATCAGAGATCGAAGCCGATTTTTTCGGCTTAACTCAATTTTTGATTTTTTTGATAGAAAAAAGCCATTTGACACCCATTTCAAGTATTTAAATTGAACTTTACATGCTTTACTATGATTCTGTGTAATATTTTGTCAGCATGTAGCTATAGTGAGCTAAGAATTTCAATTTAGCCGATTTTAAGCCGAAATTTAAGCCGATCGGCTTAGCATCGACTAAATTGAAATTCTGAGCTCACTATAGCTACATGCTGACAAAATATTACACAGAATCATAGTAAAGCATGTAAAGTTCAATTTAAATACTTGAAATGGGTGTCAAATGGCTTTTTTCTATCAAAAAAATCAAAAAATGAGTTAAGCCGAAAAAATCGGCTTCGATCTCTGCTTATTATCAAATGATAAAATAATATTTTCATCAAAAATTCATGAAAAAATTGCTTAATTTAAGTTTTTATTTTTTCCTAATTTTCGAAAATTTGGAACTGCAGGGTATAAAACTTCGAATTTTGCATCGCAGACAGACAAATAAGACATTTTTGCAAGTGTTGTTGGAAACTGTAACGGTCGAAACTCTTGAATTGTTCGTATCAGAGTCAAATTTTTTGATTTTTGTTTTGAATTTTTTGTTTATGATTTTTTTGGATCTTTTTTAAGAATCTTTCATTCTATTTTTCTTTTTATTGGTTAGTTAATGTTTTTATTAATGAAATGCATACAACAAATTACTTTGATGAGTATTGACAGCTAAATTATGCTCAACACTGTCAAGACTATTAATGCAAAAAAATTGTACAACAGCAATAATAAGAAATAGTTGAAGTAATAGTAAATTTCAACATAGGCACAAACATTCTTGCGATCTCTTCATATTACAATTTGATGAATATTCAAAAAAGACAATAATTCTTAATTTAATTATTAGATGTAAATTTGTATAAATGTTTCACAATTCACAATAATTTGCAAAACAAAAAATTCTAGATTCAATTTTGGATATTTAAAAATATGAATTCATCAAAATGTAATCTGAAAGCTCGCACATGTACAACTTATATAATTTGCCAAATGCATTGTGTTGCAATCAGCTTTTAGGCAAGAAAGTATGTTTTATTGAATAAATTAAATTAAAAAGCAGACCTTACATTATACATTTTCATATGTATAGTATAGAGATTCATTTTTTTGAAAACTTAATAAAAAAAAAGCAAGAAAAAAACGGAAAAATTCGAAAATTGCGCAAAAAATAGAAAAAAAAGAAAATAATAATTAAACAGCCCCTGTTTGTTCATTTGTTTTTTAACACATATAATTTGGTAATATTGAAGTATATTTTTGTTGGTTGATTTTCGGTCGCCTTCTCTAGTACAGCAACCGCAGAAGGTTGACTCAAGTCTGTCTCTGTCACCCATGAAGAAATGTATATTTAAATGAAATAAATATTATTATATCGTGTATTCTTTGTTGGATAAAACCATCCAACAACGAGAAATAATAAAAATTGACACTTTTCAAATAATCAAGTCTAAATTTGGGACTTGCTTCCGAAATTTCACTATCTCTCTTAAATTTTATGTCGCACATCATTTTTCAATCTCAAATAAAAAAACCAGCAAAGCTTTTAAATTTTTTGAAAAGCAACCACAAAATATATGAAATCAAGACATTGAGCCCTCTAAGTATATAAAAATTAATCTCAAATATTTCTTGGTAGAAAATATCAATAAACTTTTTGTTTTTGTTTTTCTGTAATTAAATAAACCAAACATCATATCTCTCCAATGATGACCAAGAGGATTATATAAATATATTATATGCCCCATATTTGATGAATAATTAAGAATCTCAAGTCAATATATCATTTGATATCTCTCTCTTTGTTGTCTGAAATCAAAATAAAATCTTTTTGATGCCGAAAATATTATGAACAAGATTTTATGATGACATAAAATGAATTATTATAATTTCATCGTAGACATTTTCAGAGAAAATAATAATATATATAAAAAAATCTATATAATATTTTTTTATAATTAAATCATGGACAATATCATAAATGTACACACATCATATTCTTTAATCTATAAATATATATATAAATATATATATTTCTTTCTGTTTGATTTATCACCATGCATTTTTTCAATAAAAACAGATGCCTCTCATTTTTTATATCGTTTTTCACACTAAGTGAAATTAATCAATAAACAAAAGTCTGAAATTTTATTAACAATTGCTCGTTAATGCTAGCACAAATGCATATATAAATACATTTTATATTATTAATGAAATAAATTTACGAAAAATTCTTAAATCCAATTTTCTTTCGACTGTGTTTGGGGATTATTCACTTCAATCTTTTGTATGGCTGTAATTAAAACTACATGTTAAATTTTTGTAAAATGAGGAACGAAAGAATTGCTGAAATCTGTCAAAAAACTGTCCATAAGAAATTTTAAATTGAATTTTGAACAAGCAATTTTTAGATTCATCTCATCTAAAATTCAAATACTTCCAAAAAAGTGACAAAGCTACACATTTACCAGAATAAGTTGGCAGCTACACAAGAAAATGTACAAAAATGTATTGACATATCCATAAAAGTGTTAAATTTTCGAAAAGCTACGAAAACATTATTTTTGCAGATGATTTTGATATATTAAAATGAATGCACATACAAGGGGGTGGGATTGATGACATTTGTGCAACATTTGAATTTTCTAGGAGGATTCTTTGCTTTAAAAACATGTCTTTAATAACAAGCTTAACAATCAGCTACAAATTATTTTTCATGTAATAAATCAAACTTTTTTGTAGCCAAATTTAAATGATAAATTTTTGCCACCTCCATTAGATCACTTCCCCTACCCCTATAAAAAAAGTACAACGTGATTAATTACAAAAAGCTACAGCAAACAAAATGTGAAATAATCCGTTAAAATGTACAAAAATCCCTGAAAATTATCACTTGATTCATCTTTTCCACAAGAATCACCTTCATTAGATGCGCAAAGAATGAAAATTGGATTAGAATTTAAATAAAAAACATAATCTTGTTCATTCCTTTATGCCTTGTTCTCTCTCTTTTTTTTATACAATCAAAAAAAATTTTTTTTCACTTGCTTAGTTTTCATATTTTTTAAAAAATCCTTTACATGCAAAATATTTATTAAGTTTCCTTTTTAAATCCGCTTTTTGCAAGTTTTTTTATTCTTTTTTTCCCTCTTTATTCTGACATTATTTAAGCCACAATTTTTTTTATGAAGAAAAAAATGTATTTAAATAAATTAGAATACAGAAGACAAAACATACAAAATTTATTCAAAAGTTACCTTATGACTTAATTGGAATTTAAAGCAAAATAAGACCAGGAAAAAAAATCGATTAAACAACGAGAATTTGCAAATTAAAAATTTCTTTTAAATGTATATAAAAGCTTGATTTTTTCGCATTTTTTAATAATTCATTGATTAATTTTTTTAAACCTTTATATCAGATATACATTACTTTATAGAATTCAGAGTTGATCATTGTCGTCATGCGATGCTCCTTTGTCTCTTGTATACAGGTGCTAATGATGACACAAATGTGAAGATGACAATTTAATTGGTGATTGTTATCGAGTGATGCAAAGAAGTGAAATGTGACTCATTCATTGATATTGAAACAATATGATTCATTATAAAGTCAACACACGGTTTCATGATTCTTAAAAGTTCATAAGAATTTATAATCACTCAAAGGAGTAATGCTTGAATTTAACGAATTGATTTTTGGCGTTTAATCTGTTACATAGAGTTTGTATCTTTGATTTTAATTTATTTTAAAAATCTGTTAGAGATAGAGCTACGACATCAATAATTTTCAAAGCATTTTTAAATAAAGAATCTAAAATTGTACACTTTAATTATTTTTCATAGACTTAGTAGCTTCGAATGACTTCTTAAATGAGAGGACTTTCTAATATGATTCTTTTCGGACAAAACTAGGGCGATCTACTATCTAGGGATACATACCTGACTACTGCAGTTAAATTTAAAAAAATTAAATCATTTTCATTACAAAAGATTAAATTCAATGATTATAAATGCAACAAAACGTAAAATTATGACATATAATAATTTTTTGAAACCTAAAACCAACAAATATTTTTGACATGCGGTCTTTATTATTTTAAGCCATTTTAATCAAATTACAATTTAATAATCAAATTACAATCTAAAATAAATTTGTGCATAAAATATTTCATATCCTTAAATTGATGCAGCTAAAAAGTTTTTATTCAATGCAGTTTGCATCATAATTGAATTATTTACACCACAAGTCTCATTAAACTTGTGTAAAAACTTTCAAGCCCAAAAGTGAAAAGAAACAAATTTATCACGTGTCCTGAAAGCACTACTGCATTGCAACTACCGCAAAAAAACATTTTTGAATCACTCGAGTTTACCGATTTGCATCAAAAGCGACCTGTCAACTCTACATAGAATATAAATTCCCTGAGTTCTTTAGATTGCATGCTTTGGGTGACATTGATGATTATGTTTTATAGTTTTTAAATGTTTGAGTTATGTATTGTACTGATTTTTATTCACAAAATGAGAAAAAATGATGAAAAAAGTTTTATTTTTTTTAAGTTTATTTTTATATTTCCTTTTTTATAAGAACATCAAAAAAATATCAAACAGGAGCGCTTTAATTAAATATGTTTATTACGTTCGAAATGTTATTAAGAATATATAAATTACATATCTTATTTTTATGCCAAAATTTAATTCAAACAAAATTGTGATATTTTCAATCAAAAAATAATAAGCATTTCACTTAAGTTATATTTATTTTTGTATTATATTGTCTCTTATCAAAAATTCTTTTAATTAATTTGTTTTTCTTCTTGATTTATTTTTGAAAAACCATGAAAAAGTCAAAAAATTATTGACAATTAGTTGTATTAAAAGACAATTCGATTCAATTTCTGATAAGTTTAAAGATAATAATTAAGATCGACTTAACCAGTTAATGAAGTGAAAATCAACTGCATGCAACCTTTTTTTTTGTAAAATTGTCGTTCTTATATCAAAATTATATTTTTTTAAACCTTCCTTAAATTAATTTCGTTTATAATATCTACTTGACATATCAACATAATTATTTTGTGAAAACTTTTCATAATGCAATTGTCAAATTTTTTTAATATACAAAAATAAAACAAAAAAAATCTTTTCATATCTCTATTAAATTTATTTTTAAATCAGAAAATTATCAAAAAGCATGAAATTAATTTATTAATTATTTTAATTCAAATAAAGTTGAATAATTGAAAGCTATGCGATTTGACATGAGATCCATTAGCAGAAGAGCCTGCTTTCATCTTGATTAACCAGTTGGCAATTGATTATTATTTATTTTAAAAATAGAATATTGAAATAAGAATTAGGTGGCAATGTAGCGAATTTAATCCATTCAATGCATCTCAAAATATATTTGAAGGTCGAGCTTTCTGTGCTCCTTAGAGCTGTGGATATGCCTCAAATTTTGAGAATCTTTTTTTTTTTCTTAGTGTGGAGGGTATCTTTAGGTATCAAGAATATATAAAAACAATTCAACCAACAATCCAGAAAAGCTCCATAAAAGTTGAACTTGATTTATGTTTAAAAAGCACATATATTTTGAGATCAATCATGAACTTTTCCTTGATTTATGATTTAAGTTTTATATTCTGACTTTAATGTAAATTCATATTAAAATATTTATTTTTCCTCATGCAACAAACATAAATTTAATTTTTATCTATGATTTCTTTTGTCTCGTTTTTAATTAAAACGAATTTGAAAAGCAAAATAAATTGGCAAAAAAAACAATTTATATTTTTCAATTTTTTTGTGTGAATTCTTCAAGCTAAAACAAATTGATTTTTGACTAAAAAATTTTTAACAACATTTGTATCTTTTTTTTTCTTTTTTTACATCTTCTCATCATGAACTCATATTAAAAAAATAATAAAAATATTTACTCGATTAAAACTATTCGTTGAAAACCAAATAAAATCTATACAAAAAATCAAACAAATTTTCCGTATCAAAATGTGCGCAAAATTTTTTCTCGTAACTGAAAAACAAAAACAAAAAATTATAAAAAAAATTATTTGTGCTCAAAAAACTTTTTAAACTTAAACAAAAATTTTAAAAAAAAAGTCGGCTACACAATGCGAGATATTCGATACTTCTGGAGAGATGGACTGAATTCTGTTGGAATGAGCAGCGAAGTAGAGCTTCCACAATTTAGAGTACTGGGCCACAGGCAGAGGGCGACCGAAATTAACCTAACTACAGGTACCCATACAAATGCAATCAAAAAAAGCAAATTAAAAAAATTTTTCTTGAGTTTTCCTCACAAATTCTTTTTTAGTTTTTTTGACTTTTTTTTGTCTTTCTGTTGTGAACACAAAAAATGTATTTATGTTTATGATTTTTAATCAAAAAAATAATCAATATCATTCTAATTTTATGATTTATTTTTTATGAATAAAAAACAACAACAACAAAGAACCTATTTATTTAATTTATAGATCAAGAAAATTTATTTCAAATGTTAATGGGTGAAACAAAGCTTTTAACAAAATCACCAACTGAAATAAATTACCAATATTTTTTTATATGACAAAAATATGAACAAAAATCGTTTAATTTCATATATTTACCAAATATAAATATTATTCCACAAGCAAAAGAAACAAATTCTTTATTTGGATTCTCACATTCTGAAGCAAAATTTCAAAAAGTTTTGATATTCATAAAACGAAAATTCTACGGCGCAAACTAGAGTTGAGATTTTTAAATTTATCCACATTCGCTTTAATATCAATGAAAAATTCCATTTCAAAATGATTTAAAATTTGTAACGATCAATTTGAAATTGAATTTTTCAGCTCTCTTTTGGATTAGTGTTAGTGACACTAATACAAAAATAATTCAAAAACTTGCTCTTTTCCACCTAAAATCTGCACTCATTTGAGAAATCTCAACTCTCAAACCGAACCACTCGTTATGATTTTTTTTTTAATTCGTCTGACAAACAAAAACCATGAATTGTTGCTAAACAAAGTTTTTGTTGATTATATTTTTTGTTTTTTGTTTGACTATATGCGGAAATACAATTAAGAATGAAAAGGGGTCTAAACATAAATTTTATTGCAAATAGAATTGCGAAAAATAAGAGAAATAAATACGATTGCGAAAAAAAGCGTTTGTTGTGTGCAAAAATATTAATTTTTATGGGAACTATGTATATAGTACGTACGATATATATAGCGATAGTAAAAAAAACCTCAAAAAGAATATATAAACAATTTTATTACGCGTGCCAAAAAATAGCGTTAGGCAACGCAATCATATTATGAGATGCAATTTAATTGTATTATAAAAAAATAACCAAAACCAAACATTCATTCACATATTAATCCAATTCAAATCCGTTATTTTATCAATATACAATTTTCATGAAATCACAAATTATCGATTGAATAATAAAGTCGGATATACAATGAGAGATATCCGCTATAAATGGAATGAAGGTCCTAATTCCGTTGGAGTATCAGAAGATGTATCTCTACCACAATTTAAGGTATTGGGACATCGCCAACGAGCTATGGAAATCAGTCTCACAACAGGTAGATCACGAGTCTGTAGATACCGGACTTCCGCATTTCTTTTCTCAAAAAAAAATTCTATTTTATTTTATTTAATCTTTTAAGTTTTTGTCACTCATAGACTTTTTTGATTTTTTCGTTACTCAAAAACTCTTTATTTTTAACATTTTTTTGTCTTTGAATATAAATCAAATCCAGTCAATTTTCAAACTGTTTGAAATATTTAACAACAAAAAAAAATCAATTATATACATCGACGTCGCTCAATTACATTGACTATATCCTTATTCTTTTATTTTATTTTATACAAAAAAGAGCTCTTTTGTCGTATTCGTTTTCATCATTTTATTTTTCCTTTATTTTGAATTGTTTGAAATTTATCATTTTATTATAATTTTTTCACTAACTAGTCTAAGAGATTTCTAAAAGTATTTTTATCATGTTCGTTTTTTGAGAATTTTTTAAATAGCAATGATTATTGTTTTTGTAAAATAAAAGTTCCAAAAAAACCAAAAATGAGAAGATTAATTTTTTTAATTAGCGAAACTTTTAAACAATCAAACAAAATTTTTTTTTTAATTTTACCCGAGCGGCAGAGTCTTTGGTTGAGTGGCAGTTGGGGGATTATTTAAAATTACTATGCTGTTGCAGAAACTTTATTTAATAGCAGTTTAGATTTTCTTATTGGATTCTTATTTTGAATTTTAATTTGAATTCTTCTTGAATCTGATTTATTATAGTAAAATCAACCTGAATTTCTAATTAGACTTGAGACTCTAAGAGTGAAATCAATATAGATCCAAACTTGATGTAATTAAATTGTCTGGAATCTGAAAAGGTTGATCAAGTAGTTAATTCCAATAAAACAGTTTTACATTTTCGAAATAAAAACAATTTTCTGATTAAACATGATTAAATTGGGTTTTAAATAGTCCTAAATAGTAACATGAATTTTGTAGGACACTTGACTCTAGTTTATTTTAAAAAGTCCTAAAAAAAAATCTTTTAAAATCAGATCTTCAAAAATATATTGAAAATTATTGAAAGGATTATAACTCAATCTGCAATAAATAACTCAATCCGCAACACCCACAACCATAAATTTGCCACTCGGGCCTGTAAAAAAGAACTGCAGAATAATTATCGGTGTATTTTTTTGCCACAAACTGTTTCATTGCCTTTTTACTACAATTAAAAAATTGTTCAATTACTTCTTTTTTTTTATAAAACACAAAAAAAAGGAAGTGATTGGAATTTTTTTGAATTCTGACTGAAAGGGTTGAATATTGAAAAACAAAAGGAAAAATTGGCGAGGACGTGTGAAAATTCATTTTATTTTTCTTAAATTGGCTAGTGACATATGAATAAAAATTTATTTTGAAGTTATTGGCTGCTGTAATGAATCAAATTTTGCTAATTTAAGATAATTTTGAGTCCAAAAAGAAATCGCAACCGTTTCAAAAGGAAGGAAAGAAAAATTCTTCCTATCAATAAAAAATATTCCATATGTATTGCTTTCACCTATTTCATTATTTTTTATATCAGAACCCACATTAAAGGTTATGTGATCAATAAAAAAAATCAGCAAAAAAAACCATAATATTCGGAAATATTTAGTGAATATATGTATATATGTGTATGTTTGTGTACATATATAAATATTAAATCAGTCAATTATCGGCAATCAACCTATGTATTTATGATAATATTTATGCATAAGATCACATTACCACAATTAATCAGTTCGACGTCACAGAATTTTTATTGCTCTGCATTATATTGTTGGTTTGAGACTGATATTTCACAGTTTTCCCAAACCGAAGAATAGAAAAAGAAATCGACATCGTAATTGTTTATCCCAAAACAAATCTTTTCCTCCTTCGTACCGATCCATAATCTAATAATTTTTCATTCTGGCTTCTCGTGCTTACATGCCCAGCCCGTTGTCTGGCATGTAAAAAATTTTATTTCGAATGCTGAAAAAAAATTTTTTCGTTCCTCAAAAAAATAAAAAAAAAACAAAAAAAATAAGTTCAAACCAACATTAATCATGACTGAGAATGAATCAATAAATAGACATTGAGATGACTATGAATGAAAAAATATTCGATTTTGGATCAATTCCATTGAAATTTGTGGTGAAAGTTTGCCATGAATACATCCATATAAAAAATAAACATCTACTAATCTAGCTATCTATTTTTTATTAATGAGAATCTCTCTTTCTCTCTCTCCATATCCTATAGCTATATCATTTTTGTTTTTGTGTGTATATTATATTATACAAAATTAACTATGATAATGAATGTCTATATTTAAAGTTTTTTTCAGCAAAATCGAATATATTCATACAAAAAAAAAAGAGTTCAAAAGTATAAAAAAAAATCCAATTTCTCAATTAGAGTTTCTTATATGAGAATGAAAAAATTATTTCATGCGCAAATTTTGTTTTGGAACAGAAAAAAATTTATTATCGCCGCATTTAAATAATTTTATAGTCTTATGTATCCTTAGTCTATATATATATAATATAATAATTATTGCATTCACTGAATATTTTAGTTATATTGTATGCTGTTTGTCTTAAACTTTAATATATTATATTATATTCTTACAATTAGTCATGCACATGATTTATGAATGCTTAATAATTAAGCTTCATAGAATTTTTTAACTCATACATTTCTCTACTTATTTAACATTTCATAATATGGTAAAACTTTTTTCTAAAGCAAAACATATAAAGTATAATTAAAAAATCTCTTCGCAAAAAAAACATAAATGCGGTATGAATAATTTTTTAAAAGATGCTTTAAGCTTATTATTATTCAAATTTTCTTTTCATAAATCCTCTTTCTCTATTGCTCGAACTCAAATCATCGAAAGTTTTTTAATATATATATATGCTACATTATTATACTTAAAATTACTGTCTTATTTATTCATCGTCTGAGGAATTTTACGCGTCATTATCATTCCTCGTTTTCCTATCAGCGCATTATCCTTAGATGATTTTTTTTTTGTTATTTGGCTCTTAATTTATGGACTTGTTTGGCCTGGCTGTCTGGAAACTTTTGAGATATTTCAGTAAAGACATAGATTGATACTTGATAGATTTTTCGATATCCGAGTAATTTTTCGAAAAGAAAAACTTGATTAAGTGAGACAAAAAGTATCAATCTTTAATTAAAGACGCATAGCTACATAAAAATTCTGAAGCAATTATATATAAAATATATTAATTTACCAGCTGGAAACTTACTTTCAATAATTAGAGTATCTTTTTTGCTTATTCAAAGATTTTTTTAAAGCAGAATTTATAAAAAATTGAGATTGGAAATCCTAAAATGAGAAAGTTGTAGTTTAAATTTAAGATTGAATTTTAACTCGCTGATTTAGAGCAGATTTCTAGGAATTAAAATTCATAATTTGAAAGTTATGATATTAAAGTTTTACATTAAAGTTATATATATATATATCAATTGTTAAAATTTAAAGATACTTAGATCTAAGTTAGATTCATTTTGAAATCCTTTCTCATAGTTGAAGGGTTGTCTTACCAGCAATTCGTTTTCTTCCTTCCCCTTAACATTATAAGACAGCTGTAAATATGAATGAATTTTTAAACCAAATCGTAGTTTAACATAGAACAAGACAATTGAAAGCAGGTAAACATTTAGGGTGAATATGATTTTTAAAGTATACAATTGTGTAGAAAAGACATCAAGATGTAAGTCAGAAAGAAGGGGATTTGGAAGAAAGTGAAGTCAGGAATTCCTCAATAAACCAATTCTTAACTAAATCCCTAAAACAAAATATATCTAATTCAGGTATGTTTAAAATATCTCACTAGTACCATCGCCAGTTCATACCAAAAATTCCAATCAAATCCAAAAAAATCAATAATTTCAACAAATTACCAGAAAAAAAAATCAATCTTCACGGGAAAATGCGCTACAACCCATTCATAATTATACGAGAACATTTATCATAATTCTCTTTTATTTCTCGTTAAACTTTCAAATCCTATTTTATATCATTCGCGAAATAATTTCATTCCATATTCTCGTCTACAAAGAAAAATAATTGCTGAAATCAATAAAAAAAATATTTTCATTCAAAATAAAATCACGAAATCCTCCTTAAAAAGGTTCATTACCATTTCATAATTTATTCTCAGCCAGGCATAATCATTGTGTCAAAATATATATAAGGCAAAAAAAGAGGTTTATCAATTCAGTTTTGAACTTTAAATAAATTTTTTAAATATGATATGAAAATAGGGTGTCTAAATGTTAAGTTTGTGGCAATATTGTTGATGGTCTATTTAAATGTTGATTTTTTCGAGGGTTTAATTAATTTTATTCAGGAAAATTTGGATAAGAATATTGCAAAAGTTTGAACGGTTAAGCGAAAATTAAATTATTTATGAATTTTAATACACACGATCCGCTCGTCAATAGGGTCCTTCATATGTCACGAATATTTTTCAATACAATAATTAATTTTTATAAAAATGCAGCCAAGACACCCTAAAAATAAGTAAATGAGCAGCCAAATAAAAACAATTATGCGATTAAGCAAATTTCATTAATTATGACTAAAAACAATTTTTTTTCTTTTTCACTTAATTAAAATTATTTCACAATCTATTGTGTATATATAAAAATTAAAGTCGGTTACTGTTCCGAGTCAAATTGCGAAGAAAACAATTTCCGAGAGTAATTTTTATGATTGATGACATTTCATTTCCATTTTTGCAGTCATAGTTGTGGTTCCATTACACGCATTTCAACATTTTTCTCGCGTTTCGATGTCAAAAGTTGACATTATTTTACATATTATCGCCATAATGTAAATGGAAAAAGAACTACATAATTTATTTGATGTATGCATGTAAATTTACATGCATAATGTTGCTGAAAATTTTATTTGGCTTACCCGATTATGAATTATCACCAAGAATTAGATCACATAATTCAAAAATATTAGACCTCTAATAATTGACATAATTGATATGCGATATTTAAACAACAGCGACAGTAATATCGATAAAAATTCGCTCATCATTCTCATGTATATATTTTTTGTATCAAATAGACATAACAAAAATTGCGTAGAGAACCAAATAAAAGCTTCATCTTTTCCATTTAGAATTTCCTCTCATAAATATAAATATTTTTTCTTTAGTTCTCGTCTACTTCTTCTTCATACTTATTATGTAAGAAATTGACCCTTATCTCCTCACTTCTCTCACTCCTTATTGTCTGTCCCATTTACAATGTGTTCCATTTTTAGATATACATACATTAATGTACAATAGATTTATGTGAAATATTTTGGTTTCTCTTTTCTTTTTTTATCATTTATCATGAATCACAGCATTTCCATGCATATCGCAATGATTTTAGTATTTTATTCACAACTTCCTCAAATAATGATGATATAGATCAGCCTTCTAGCACATTTATCATTATTTTAAAATTTATCATTTTTTATGTGTCTTTTTCACATTTTTTTGGTTTTTATTTCTTTCTCATTCTATTACAAAATTCATATATCAATAATATGACTGAGCATTTATTTTTGGTACAAATCAGAACTAATGGAAAATAAATTCCATTCTTTTGTTTCGTTATTAATTTTCAAAACTTTTTTTTTTAAATTGTCACAAATTATTGTTGTAAATATGCGCAGAGAAGAAGGAACAAAAAAATAATAATTTTTTTTTGTTATCGGGTATTTTTGAAATTGTGCTAGTCTGTGTGGTTTCATTAAAAATGCAGAGTTGTTGTCTACTGTTGGAGACAATCATTATTGTCATGCTTATTGAGGGTTTATGCTACATCTATGATTTATAAAAGGATAGAAAATTCATTTATTAGAGATTTCTAAGATGATGAAGGTTTTCTGGACATTTAGAATTCTTAGACACTTCCTAGTCCCATCTTTCGTCTTTGGAGTTATTCAATATTATAAATTCAGATAGCTTTATGCTGAGATCTTAATCAGTAGTTGTTCAATAGCGATTTTGAATTTTGATTGAATCATTTGTGCTGGAAACTTAGTTCATAGTCTCTCATTTGAAGGCAATTGACATTAGTATCATCAAAGCTGTGGTTCATATTCCACTGTGAGCTGAGGGTTTAGATTTAAGTCACGTTTCTCAAGTAAATTTCTCAAACCTTCATGCACCCTTAAATTAGATGGAACCTTAGTTTGTGGATCTTCCAGAAAATAAGCTTCCATGAAAGTTGATTGAATAATTTCAGAAAAATTCTATAATATATAATTCAGCATAAAGTACACAACTTAATATTTTTTTGGCCTGGAAAATTGTTAAGTAATTTGTACTTTGATGTTAAAAGAATATATCAAGTACCCATTTGTACGTTTAGAGCTATACAATCCGGCAGCAAAGTAGCTATGAATTTCTTTGTTATTTTTAATTAAATGCATTAAAACTCTCCAGAAATTTCAATTGTCATATGAACGTATGAAAACTAAGTGGACCATTAATGCTTTTATGACTATATATTTCAAAAAATTAATTACAAAATTAATCACAGCCTGTTAAATCTAATTGCATCTGCAGATTACCCAGGTGATTTATTTATAAAATGACAATCTACAACTACTTTTGTAAAGTTGTTAAATCCACAGAGAATAATGCAAACTATTCAATTAAAACTAATTTTCAAATATTTGGCGTAATCAACTATGTAATTTTCCACAACAATGTCCTCACCATCAAAGAAAATGCATCACTGCTCATCAATCAATTTATTTAAAATGTCAAAGGTTTTAGTTGCATCCAAAAATAAATCTGTCATTTCTATTTTCTAGCCACAAATTATGAGGTAAATTTCCAAAAATTTGTATGCAGTACAATAAATTAAAAGTTCATTAATGCAGGTTACCTCAGTCGACTGAATCTAGATCGTGTATTAAATTAACAAGAAAATGATAAATTTGTAATGCAATAATGAAGGTTTGAGGATCATGGAAAGATAAATGTACAAAACACAGCATTTATGGCTATTCTAAATCATAGCATAAAGCACAACTTTTATGCTTTTCCACGTGGAAATAATTTATGCCATGTTCCTGAACTCGTCTAGTAAATTATTCTCACTTTAAATTACCCCGAGCGTAAGCACTTCCGGAATGAGATTCTTATCAGCAACAACCCCAACATGACAACTCTGCTATCTAATTTATGTTGTGCTGTACAAACAAAAAAAAAGTTTAAAAGTTTGTGTACGAAAAGCGTATCCGTACAGACTAGAACATTTTTCAATTCCCCTTATTATACGCTAAACATAGATAAATCTGTATTTCATTCATTCATACTGCCCATTATCTGTTTGTGCCATATGTTTCATCTCAGCAACAACAACAAAACAATATATATAAAAAAAAACTTTTTCTTTCCTTTTATCCAAGTAGCAAATGATTGATGCCTGAATTTCTTTTTACACATTTTTTTATTTATTTTATTTATTAAATGGAATGATATTTAGAGAAAAAAAAGTCTTTATTACTTATTAGAGTTTTATGATGATATTTGATAGATATAAGAGTGCTTTTTTCTTACTATTGCATTATTTTTATTCCACAAAGTTTTATGCTTTTATGATAAGATTGATGATGATAATGATCATACATATATTCTATTTTTTATTAGATGAAGAAATAGTTTTTAAATTCCTTTTTTCAATTTAATTAATTACCTCATTTCTTTAGTTAAAGACTTTTTGACCAATCTTTTTTTGATTTTTTTATTTTTGTTTTATTTACTTAAATTATTATGCAAATGTTAATTACATAATTTTTTTAATTATATAAAAAAAATCACCAAAAATCTGCAGGTACATAAAGTTTTATCATATAAATTTTTTTCTCTTTTTTTCTTCTCTTTTCTCTCTTTTTTCATGAACGAAAAAAAAATCTTTTCTTCCAATTAATTCTTTTGCCACTTCCTCATTAAAATATAAAAAACTTTCGACGGAAATTTACAGGAAATTATTCGCGCTTAGCTTGTGAAATCCAGTTTGTTAGATCAATGGGTTATTATCTAATTCAAATTTATATTCCATCTGGATTAATTGTAATCATATCGTGGGTATCATTTTGGCTCAATCGAAATGCAACGCCGGCTCGAGTAGCTCTCGGTGTAACAACTGTATTGACAATGACAACACTTATGTCGTCCACAAATGCTGCCTTGCCCAAAATATCATACGTTAAATCGATTGACGTTTATTTGGGTACATGTTTCGTCATGGTGTTTGCCAGTTTGCTCGGTAAATATTCGCATTCTATTATGCTTCTTCTTCTTCTTGCTCCTATATCCTATTCCTATATCGATAGCTAGATGTTCAATGTTACATAATGTGTCTCTAAGCAAGGTTAAGATGCTGTTGTTGTCATATTCAAAATAACTCAAACGTGAAATTATAGACATTATGCCTTATAGCCATAATATTATGAAGTAATATTTCACTCAATCTTTGGTAAGGATATTTATGCAGACTACGTCAGCTCTTTTTTTTACGGACATACTTACATGACATGCCTAGTTTGTGGTTTTGTGTGGAGACAGTATTATGAAAGTATTTTTTATGTCGGTCCTGCAGCAGACGGTGATGTGCTCATATTCCAGCAAATTATCCCCAATTTGGGTCAATTGAATGATCAGCTCATAAAATATTCAAGACTCCATAAAAATCGACCAATTTGTATTGACAACAGCATATCATCTAACCACATTATCCTGCTTAAAGACACACAAAATTAGGTTAAAATTAGTCGATCATGTATGTACATTATCTCCCCATATTCACGCCCATCCCATAATGAGTTTAGTTGTCTTATTAACACTCTCACATTCATGTAAATTTACCCATCATTATTCAATTTTAAACGAGAACATCAGCTGAAGAAAGAAAAAAAATTTGAACATGTGCAACATATCAATCTATCATGGCATCTGATGATGGGAGAGATAATGTACATAAATGTTAAATGAATCGTTAGAGTACCAATTATAAAAGTTTATAAAACTTAATTTTTCTTCCTTCTTTTTTCTCATTTTTTTCAATCAACATTTCCCTCGTCTCGCTGCCGAATCTTCTCATCATCCTTCATGTTGTTCGTGCTATGGACGAAAAAAATAAAATAAAATAAAATGATTAATTGCTTGACTGTTCTACAGAATATGCTACGGTCGGTTACATGGCTAAGCGAATACAAATGAGAAAGCAACGCTTCATGGCTATTCAGAAAATTGCCGAGCAAAAGAAGATCCAAGTGGATAATGCACAACAACAAAATAATCCACCAAGTAGCGGAGGTCCACCAAGCGTTGTAGGTCCACCAAGTGAGCATTCTCATTCGCATGGTCACAGCCATTCACATCATCCACACGTACCAAAGCAACAGATGGGAATGAATCGCGGTCCACCTGGTATGTCAACATTACAAGGTAATGTTGTTGGTTCAAGAGGCTGTTCTATAGTTGGACCCTTATTTCAAGAAGTTCGCTTCAAAGTGCACGATCCGAAAGCGCATTCAAAAGGTGGAACACTTGAGAATACAATTAATGGTGGTCGTGGTCAACAGCCACCTCCAAGTCAACCATCACAAGGTGGTGACGAAGAAACGGGAGGAGGAGGTGGTGGTCCACCACAGCATTTAATTCATCCAGGGAAAGTAAGTATATTATAAAAATTGGATTAGTTATCAACATTATTTATTACTTACACGATTTTTCTGTCCATTCTCTCGTGCCTTTCTCTCCCTTTCTCTCTTACAGAATATCAACACACTACTGGGTATAACTCCTTCCGATATCGATAAATATTCACGAATTGTGTTCCCCGTTTGTTTTGTATGTTTCAATTTAATGTATTGGATAATTTATTTACATGTTAGTGATGTTGTAGCCGATGATTTAGTATTACTCGGTGAAGATAAGTAGGAAAACTTAGTAGGACCCATATCAATAAATCACACTATACCCGAATACGATTATGAAACGTATACAACTTTATTATGGAAGATTGTTACAATATTTATGATTATGATTACATATTTACACGTTTACGTAAAGAAGCAAAAAACCCATTTTTCATTGATTCCATTCCGTTCATTTGTAACAACAAAATATCTTAAGTTTTAATGCCTGCCTTTAAAAAAACGACTTAGAATAAAATAATGAAATACTTAAAAAAAATACCACAATTGAATTAAAAAAAGAAATTTATAAAAATAGAGAAAAAAAAATTGCTAAAAAGACGATAACTTAAGTAAATTAAATGAGACAGCACACAGAAAAAACAAAACACACACTGCATATAATTTTTTTTATTTAATTTCTTTCCTATAATAAGATTTTTATATTCTCAACAAAATAAATAAAAACAGTCTCACAGTCACACACTCACACTATGTGAGACGTTCTTTCGTTCCATGAATTGATATTTAGATGCAAAATCATCCATTCGAATATTCCAAAATCTAATAGGAATATAATCTTGTTGTAGTGAAAAAAAAAATGAAGTAAATGAAAAATAATTCTTTTTATTATTATTCTGAGTATTTAATATTTATAATGAAGAAATGAAGAAGAATAATCCTCACTATAAAAAAAAGTTGAATTATATTCACCCTCCCACAATCACACGAGAAACACACAATGACACCCAACATAAGTTGAAAAAAAAGCTCATATCGTTTTTAAAAAAAATTCTAATTCTCACAAAATCTGGCACTCACTTGATTTTTTGCCTCCTTTTTACTTTTTCGAAAAAAAAAAATGTTTTACACGCGAAATAACGACGACAAGTCGATGAGTCATCAATCGGTATGATGACTAAAGCGCATTTTTGCTGATCTAATTTCAAATTTCGAATAACTGCCAAAAAATGTTCGAAAAATATTTTCACGCCGCAAAAACTCAAATTCAACCGAAAATTTGAAATTGAGCTTCATGAGCTTCTAAAGGTTGTTGCCATTAAATAAATTAATTTCCCCCCAATTTTCAAACTCAAAGGTTAATCTCCGAAATGGCAAGAGTCAGACACAAAAGGATCTGAAGATTAAAAGAACTTTTAAGCTTCCACTTATGACACGAACATTATTATAATCAACAAGTCATGCGAAGCGATAAAAAGAACGCAATATATTCAGCAAAAATGCGCTAGAAAAAAATATCTGGGACATGAATCGACTTTTTAGGACGAAATATACACAACAAAAAAAGAAACAGCACATATAAGAGAAATTAAATTAAAGAAGAAACAAAAAAAAATGTATTGTACTTTACTTAAATGAAGAAAGCTTCTTCGGTCATTTATGTGAGTCGCTTTCAATTCCATTTTGATAATTACTTCATGCTTCCGAAACATAAATGCCAAATTACTAACGTGAATCTTAATATAATTGTAAGTCGAAAAACAAAAGAAGAAAAACAAAAAAAAATATAATAAAAATCGGAAATTTATAAATTTCTTCTATCTTTCTATCTCTATCACTATCTATCTGCGATAATTTATTTATACTTGTTGTTATTGTTATCTCCGTTTCTTGTTTCATTTCCACTTCTTTTTCTTCCTGTTGCAACAATTATCTCCTTTTAAATGCTTTGCTATTAAATGTAGAATGCAAAAAAAAGGAAGGAGAATAAAATTGATAAAAAAATGATAAGCAAATAATGACATTAAAAATTGTTTTCTCTTTGACATGAAATGGTAAAAAATTTATTTATAGATAAATGTCCTCCTCTGTTTCTATATTCCCCTCCTCAAAAAAGTGAAAATATATTCTATACAATTTCGTTATTGTTGTTATGTTACTAAATTTATTTAAAAGTTTATATTGAAACAAAAAACTATATTAAAATGTATATGCGAGATATGTAACATGTCACAATCTATATTTATAATCACACCCCGTACGATGATGACAAGAGACTTTTTTGTTCCTCTTTACCCTATCTCTATTGGTTGTTTAATATGCACATGATTTTTTGTGGCTAGAGATTCTAAAATGTTGAGTTGTGTGGGATTTTTTAAAAAGAAAGAAATTTCGAAAAGTTTTGAAGGGTTTTTGTTGAAAGTTGAAAATTTTATTTGGTTTTTAAAACACTGCATCGTGGCTTGAGTCAAACTAGGAGCTTCTTTTCAAGAATCTGAGAGTTATTTCTATAATTCTTTTCAAAGTAAATAATGTTTGGCAAAAAAACAATAATTTTGAGGTTATCTCACATGACACATGACTTTTAAAGAAGCTTGTTCCCAGTTCCACACAGAATGCAACTTTTAAACTATCCAAACATCAATGGTGATTTTACACTTGGAATTCAAGTCAAGATAGAATTTTCTTTAATTTTTCTAAAATTGTTCAAATCAAACTACTTTAACAATCCTTCAAAAGGGCTTTCTAGACCCATTCTGTATAAGCTGTTTATAATAGACAATCTCAACCCCACTCTCACCCAATTCAAATAATAAAGAAAAAAATCCTCTTAAGAATCTCCTCAGAATTATAAGCAAAATTTGTCAAATCATCTTCTCAAACGAACGATCTAAACTGTATAAGAAAAATAAAAATCTCGACACTCAACGTCTAGAATCTCTACACACCTAGCTTAAAAAAAAGCTTATAAAGCGTCATTGTTTTCTTCTTGAAAAATCAAAATAATGAAAGTAATTCTAAAAAAGCCATATTTGATGTGCAGATAATGATGATATTTAGGTTCACTCCCATTCTTCTATTATTCAATTTAAAACCCTTTTTTTCCACTGTCCTGAACAACTTGAACTTGATATTTATTTTTATCAACCTCTTTTCTATCTATTCATCTCCCTACCTTTCTCAATTCTTTTACATTTGACGTCATTGTGATGATGTTATTAATTCTAGATGTATCTATCCAAGCCTCGTACTCTTTTTTTTGCTTTAAATTTATTATAAAATCGATACACAATTTACATGACAACACATCGACACACACGATTGAGAATTTAATTGATTAATCAAATTATAAAAATAAACTTTTTTTTCCACTTCTTAGTCTCCATTTCTCTGCTTCCTATATCCTCTCGTTCGCTCAATCCTCATGCCTCGAAAGATCGAGGCAAACATTTTATAGCTTTTCTTTCACTTCAGTTGAGATTGATTTTGTAATATGAAGGATGTTCATAGGATATTTTAAGGTTGTTTCGTAAAAAATAAAATCTCATTTAAATTTTGTTGATGGAATCAAAACGAGATAAGAAAGAGGAGAAAAAATTTCATTTAAAACTTTGAAGTGGAAAAGTCTTCATAATTTTATTGTTTTCCATCTCTCGCACCATTATCTGATGAAATATTTTCATTCGATTCCTTCAGTTAAACTTTCTTTCAACGTTCCGTTGTTATGTGTCCTCTGCAAGCCAAATGACTGTTGAGAGAATTTCTAAGGCTCTTCTGCTCTATTCTTGGACAATTTGTAATGATTAATTTCAAAAAAAAATCTGAATGAGTAGTCTCGTTTAGATAAAGAGATGTCATGTTTTCATATCGCAAGTATCATTTTAATGTCTGTCAGGTCAGACAAGGGTTAATGATATATAAATAGGTGTAGACCTCCCAAGAAGATGAAGTCATGAGAGTTGATTGCTCTCCAATTTCTAGAGGTTTGTTGTCTGACGGAAGTTTATTGCAATCATTTCAACCACATGGGGTGCTTTCCTTAAAACAGATCGTATTCCATAATTGGAATATTAAATTAGACAAAATAACGGAAGTATCAGTGCGACGAGCTATTTTGCATTAAAAATATAAAACGGATGTACAATCTCATAAATTTCTGAGCTGTAGAGGTCTAATAACTATCTTAACAGGGGCACATGAGGGCCCATAATGCGGAAATAAATATTTTGAATCTAACATAATACTAAGATTCATCCCGGTTCGAAAAAAGTATCAACCAACTCCATTCTGTCATTAATTCATTTACTATTTTTGATTTTTATAAAGAACTTCTATAATAAAATAAGTCCTATGTACCGAAATAAGTGATCCAGTACATCAAACTGACAGAATCTAAACAGTAGAACAAAACAACGTTTAGAATATCTTCAAAGTCATTTGGTATCGGAGTTAAATGTCACAAATGGATCAACAGTAAACATTTTACATTCAATCTTAGATTAATTTAGTAATCGTCTGATTTTTGTACATTCATAGACAAAATTTTGAATGTAAAGTGCTACAATTTAATGATTTTTATGTCAATCAAAGTCATAATCAGTTAGTTAAAACCTTGCCATAGTCATCAAGTTGATTAGCTGACATGTCAATTTGATTGAACACATTTGTGACATTGAACTGAGGACCCTAATTAAGTTAAGACAATTTTTTTAAATTAAAATTTATTTAAAATAAGATATAAAGATGATATATACAAAGCATGTGATAGAAAAATAATTAAAAAAATTGATTTAATACAAAAAATAAATGAAAATAAATAAGCATGTAGTCGCCAGTGAATTTTAAAATAAAATAAGTATAAAAATAATTCTTTAAAAAAGAGGAATATCAAAGAAGAAGTTATAATAACTAAAAAAAATTCTAAAGTTGATAAAAACACACACACAAAAAAAATCTTTTTAAAGAAATTAAAGTGAAAATTATCACGAAAAAAAAGTTTTTATTATCGATTTTTGTTCATTTCAAATTCAGTTCACATCTTTTTTTTCGTATATTCGACGCCATCGCACATACACGATTCTCTCAATGTACAATTTTATGATTTTTATGATTATGTTATTTTCACTTTTCATAACACACATAAGAGTGTTGATATTTTTAATGGGTCTCAAATGAGATTTATTAAGGATTTATATTACCACAAACAAACAAAAAAAATGAAATAAGATTAAAGCACAAGAGAGTTGTTAAATTGTCATAAATTATATATGAGCAAAAAGTAATAAAAAAATGAGAAAACGGCACAAAAAAAACATGGAATACATTCAAAAAATAAGTTTACCAAGAAAATCAAAAGAATTAAGAACAAACTTTTCATAAAAAGCAGTGCAAGAATGAATCATTACAATGCAAATCATCTAGGATAAAAATTTATTATCGAAAAAGAAAAATAATGATGAGATTTTTTGTAAATAGTAAGGGTTAATTTTAAAAATTATTAGAAAATCGAAACAAATAAAGAAGAATGTTACATTTAAAAAAAATCAAGTCTTGAGCACAATTTATGGCAAAGAAAATTATTAAAATAATTGAAGAAAATGTGTGATTTAAGTTGTTTAATTGAGTTAACGATATTAACATTCGTTAATAATTCTTCCAATATATTTAAAAAAAAGATGAGAATCATGCAATAAAATGCATTTTAAGCAAGAAACTTTTGGCACGCGTTTTTCTTTCTTCTTCTTCTTCGCTGGCCGTACAGATCAATTGTGATCCATGGCGTTTTTCTTTACATTTTATTTATACAAAAAAGAATCTTGTAAATTAAATCGTTTTGTCAATGACATGGTAAACATTTTAAGACAAAATATACACTTAGTTTCTAAGAGAAAATGATCTAATATGTCCAGTAAGTATTCTATTATCGGCTTTAGGTCAATCCAGATTTGATATTCCTATAAAAGTGTCTTTTGTCTTCTTTGAAATTTATATTCACATTATCGAAGTCTGACAAAATTGACGAATGGCACAAAACTTGATTCACAATTTAAAAACAGTCCAAATTTGTCAAAGGAACTATCCATAAACTACTGGATGTCGTTAAAAAATCAAAAATTAAATTTTCGGCTGTTTTAAACAGTCTGGAGTATCCTGACTCTTTTACTGTTTTAAATAAAATGCCATAAAGTCACTTTCACATTTAAACATACTTCCTCGTCATCCCTCTTCAATGTAAGACAGTCAGTCACAGCAATTTTCCAGAAAAGATACAAATTTCAAAGACTTTTCACTCATTAACCCCAAAAATGTCACATCCTTCAACAGCACCAGTCAAAACATAATTTTCAAGAATATTTCCGTGTCTGGTCAGTAAACAAAATTTCATGCTGAATGGCATTTTCAACAGCAGGCAATTTACACGCAAAATATTTCATAGTGTAACCCATTACAGTGTCAATAAATGTCATACTAAGTATGACGACCCAAGTGTTGATGTCATAATTTTCCCGTTTAAAATCGATGAAATTGTCTAAATATTGCAAGCAATTCTCTTTCAGCTTCCTCTCATATTTATTTACACTTCATACTGCAATTTTCCTCTTCATTAACTCTGGATTGTGCTATTCAATGCCCTTAATAGAATACCAACCTGTACTCTATTATATAGCTCAATTATAGTTTAATTATTTAATACATGCAATCATAAGAACTATATAATCACGAGCATTATCATTTGTGTCATAATTAAAATTTTGCTTGTGTTATCATTGAGTCATGCATGAATGGCAAACAAAGCAGCTCACAAAATTAATAAGTTATATTCCCATAATTAATTATTTCGTCCAAAATTTTCAAAAAAAAAAGATTAAAATGCGAAATGTTTCCACCCATATTCATTTTTTAGGTTCCATTTTTTTATATATACACGATAATATTAATGATGAAAACTTAATCAAAAAAAATAATAAAGTAAAATTTCCTCAACTTTTTGTGGTGAACACACGAAGTTTTTTGATAGAAAAGAATCGTTCATTAACCTTTTCCTATTTCCTATTGTTTAATAAGAAAGTTCTACAATTAATCGAGTCAAAGTTATGTAGTTGAGGAATAAACATACACACACATCCTAACAAAATATTAATGAACAACTTTATAATCTGATCAAACTAAATTAAAGTTCTTTTTTCTGTTGTGTAATAAATTAATTAAATTTTCAAGCATTGTTTCTCATAATTTTTTTGTTTTTTGGATATTCTCATGAGACAATTGTTTGTTTCAAGACGTACTTTTGTGGGTTTTATATGTGTGGAATTTTTGAGATTTTAAACATTTTGTATTTTGAATACATAATAATCCTTTTTGTGTCCTCATTTCAATGTGAATTAATGATGCTGATGGAATTGAAACTCGTCTCTTTAGTAGGGTATTTAAAATTCTCGAATTTTTGCGATGGAATTTGAAAACATGACCTTCGAATGCTTTTATCAGTGACACAGTTATTGTGCCGTATTCAATATTTTTTGAGGTCGGTCTGGCATTTTTAAATAGTTGTGTCTGAGCACACTGGAATCTGGGATATCATGTTATATGTAGGCGAATCTGTCATTGGAAGTAAAGCGATTAATCTAAAGAAAGATATCAGAAGAAGTAGCTACTAGCTGCGACTCTGTCAAAGTATACAATAAATACTCACATTGCTAGCAAATAACAAATATTCGAGCGTTCCAAGAACAAATAAGGATGCCCTACATAGGCATAAAATACATTAAGAATCCCCAAGTGAATACAGTTGAACATGTCATCAAACAATTCCATTACCTATCCCCCAAAAATTCCTCAAAAGACTTGAATTTTAAAAGCATAATAAAACTTCCTTTCTATAAAACATTTATGATAGTTATGACAATGAGTTAAAAAGCATAATGAGTTTATTTTTGTCTTCAACGAACAGACGACGTCGAGCTGCGATGACGACAACGACTACATGAATGATAAAAGTAATGATTTTGTTATGATAGAAAAAATATTAATTCTCTTCTTATTATTCAGTTATGAATTATTTTTCAATGAGATATAATAAAATGAACATAAGAAGAAAAAAAATTTCGGCTGTGATAAAAAAATTAATTTTTTTTTTTGGCAAACATTCCTCCTACTATGAAGAAATAAAATAAAGATATAAAACAGTCTTTAAAATTGAATTTAAAAAATAAGAATAAGAGAAATTTTCCTCCTCATTTCTTCCACTTCCTATTTTATTCTATCCTCCATCTATTATTGTTCTGTCTTCTCTTTCACACAAATTGATATGATGAAGCATATAATGTCCTACAAAAAAAAAATAAAAAAAAGTTATTAGAAAACGTCTTTGAAAAGCAATACAGAATGACATTCGAGACAACAAGACATTGAACAATCTAATCGAATTTATAAAAAAAAAATTAAAATTTAAAAAATGATGAATAAAACATAAAAGAAATTAAATAAAAAATTCAATTTCAAAAACAAAATGTTTTCAATCTTTAAAAATTTTGTGGACATGAAAATTTAATTTTTAAAGCATTTACATCCGAAATTGGCACAATTTCCAACAGATGTAAAAGAGAATATAAAATTGGGAGAAAAAAAAAGAAAAAAATCAATAAAGTTTAGATATTAAGGCAGTATACACGCATAATCCTAGTTTTTGTTGAGTTTACGCCTCATTCTAATGTTAATTTACGGCTTTAGTCTGAATGTTTTCTCGTTTTTTAAAGGATTTCAATTTATGCTCATATATCTGCTACATGCATGGTAGTCGGAAAATATTAAACATGAAAAATTCGCCTCTATCTATCCAAAATGTATAAAATATATGAAATCGTTTAGCATTGGGGTGGATGACACATGTTTTGGATTCTTTTAGTGGACTTCATCGAGGTCGATGTTTTGCAGACGATTCTATAGAAAATTGATTAATTTCCAAGCAATTGATTTCTTAAAATAACTCCTATGGAGTTTTGTTAAAACTGTTTACTACGTGTCTGTTGAACAGTTGGAATCTTTCCTCATAACTTATGTGCAATAATCTATTGAAGATCTTTCTTTTGATTTCGTTGTATAATTAACCGGAAGGAAGTTATTCAACATCTTTCTCATCTATTCCTAAGAACAAGCTAGCTTCAATTATGAAGTTGGTTGATTCTGATACTTTTTCGCGAGTTTCTACTTCTACTACTAGGATATATCACTGAATATACTTAACAATAAGAGCAATCCCTAGTATCTAGGGAAATATGATAAGAAACTAGAATAGAGGTAGTTAAACGAATAGATTTACAAGTTTACAACCTTGTAGCAAGTAAGACTAACTTAAGAAGGGCTTAGTAAATTAATAAGATAACTTAGTAAAGGTTCTTAAAGTAGAGATCAACAAATATTTATAACAGAAAATATCGCAAATTTGATCTTGAACTTGAAACTAGCCAAGTTGAGAACCTTAAGCTTCTTTATCGCTCCTTTTAAAAATTTATCTAACAAATTTTAAAGAACTTAGACAAAATCTCATGAAGCCACAAAAACAATCCACAAATTGAGTCGCCAACCCATAATCGTTATAAATTCTAACATATTTTTGCCCATTTTCAATTTCGTACAGAGAAACGTTGAACATATATATTATTTGAACTCTATAAATATCCGCATTATCATGTGGATCGTATAATATAAATAAAATGAGAAAAAATCGAAAAGAAACGATATTATGCATAATGCATACGTAAATTCTAAAGTGTATGTAAATTAGGAAACTTTTTTTTAGAGATTAGTGAAAAAAAGTAAATTAAAATAATGGCGATGTCAAAAAAAAGCTCAAGAATGATAGTCAAAAAAAAGCAGAAAACACACAAAAAATTGCTTAATTTAAGTCTATATAAAATGTAACATATTAATCCTATACAACAAATCTTATGCAGCAGAGGTACTGCAACATTTTAACTTACACGGATGCTTTTGAATCCACATTCTAAATCAAAATGAGATTAAATGTGCGTAAAATGTTGCAGCATGTCTACCAATTACACAACTCAAAAAAAATGAAAGCATTTTTAATAAAAAAAAATGAGAAAATTTTACTTTCAAATTTCAAAAACTTTTTCATACAGTCGAATCGAAAAAAAAATGTATAAAAAAATTAATAGACAGAAAAATGTTTACTCACAAATATCCCCTCAATCACTCAGTCACTCGCATGACCTCCTCTCCTTCTTTTTCACCACCATTTTCCTCACAATAAATTCTCATCATGAAGATTAATACCCTTATATGACCTCATATTGTTCATGCATCATTTTAATAAATATTTTCAACTTTATGTGGAAGTTTGTCAGATTTTTTTTTATTGGCGAGACATGGATGATTAGCTTCAAGATCAAAAGTGTTAGGTTTTGAAATTGTATATCGTTAAAATCTGAAAAGTAAATCATCAAAAAATCTGACAAAATTCATCACAAGGATGAAAAAAAATTAATGTTATCTGAACAATATGAGCCACAAATAAGGGTCGAAAGGATTAACTTAATTAGATTACTATATCCTGCAATTAGATAAACTTAGGATTTATTTTCAACAAGAAAATGGAAAAACTCGAGGGAAATTAAGGGTTCGATATTCTCGTACGACATAAAAAAAATGAAATAGCAATCACATGGTCGCCATGGGAAATTTTTTTTACTGTTTACCTACAGGTGACTGCCATTTCATTTTCTGTCGCACGAGTGAGCCTTAAAAAAATACTTTACATGTAAATAATTTTAACAAAAAAATTTTTTTCTCAAAGAAAAATTTTATTTGTGAAAAGCGTCACACACAAAATAATAATAATAAAAAAATAGAGTAAAAAAAGAATCATAAACACACAATTGAGAGGAAATGATGAATAATATAATGCATTTGCGTTGAACTACACATTAATTTTTTTATGCACATATTATAAGAATGAACAAAATTATTCAAAATGAGGAATAAGAAAAAAATGAAAGAATTATTGTATAAAGTTACGTAACTCAATCGAACGACAAAATAGCATTAGTAGAAGTGTAATTGGACTTACTTTGCATAATTTTAAAATATATGAAGATTTCTGCATACTTAGTGCAATGCTTTTTCTAATTAATTTACATAATGAACTGCCTGTATACATACTTTATGACCCTTATTTCTATAATTATTTAAATTTTAGATTAATTCCACTATGCATGAAGAATTTTCAATTCAGAGTTGCTGGTTGGGTTTCAGAAATATTCTGAATTGTATAAAGCTCAAGTAAGAATTGGATGTTCATAGATTCAATAATAAAATATATGCGAAATCGATCAGATAAACAAGATTTATTCTCATTAAAATGTTTAAAATCCGAATTCTTGTTAAAACTTGAAGTTAATTCTGACTACTAAATCTGATCAATTCTAAATGAATGTTTGAATCTTTGAAACAAAAAGATCCATTTCTTTAGAATCAAGATTTCCTTTTGTGATTTGATCGAAATATAAACAAACGACACAGTGTTGGTTAAAGATCATTGACTTAATAATCAGAATAATGACTGAAAGTATTAGAAAATAGTGAAAAGATTGAAAAACTCTTTCGAATCAAACAAAACTTATCAAGATCAAACCAAATCTGAATTTAAAGAATTTAAAACATCCAAGAATTCTAGATTCAAGAGGAAAATCATCAAATGAGCAAATACAACACAACCATCAACTCTGTCCTTCACTAAACTTCTCTGTCGTTCTCTTAATAACTCTAGTTCTATATCTTGTTAAATTATTCAAAGAATTTTGCACCTATAAGATTAAAGTTCTCTCTCTTCTCTCACACACACAACTAACAAAACAACTCATATATAATGAAATTGAAATTAATGCAAGTTAAGAAAAATGTAGAAGTCTTCGATATATTTAAAATTAGCCAAGTATGTCCTGTTTAATTGTGAATATTAAGACAAAAAAAAAACAAAAAAAATATTTAAAGAAATGAAAAATAATGTTTCGATTTTCACGAAAAAAACAAGAAAAAAAACTCACATAATTAATTTGAAAAACACTAAGAAAAAAGACTAATTAATAGATGAAATGAAATTAGAACAAAATGATAAAGAAAAAAAAAACATCTAAAAATTGAAATATATTATGTATAGAAATATATATGATAAATATTTAATTGAGGTTCTATATTTTTAGGTTTAAAACAAAAAGAAAGAAAAAATTAAATTAAAAAAATTTTGAGTTTAGCATTTTAGAAAAAAAAAACGATTATGTAAACGACAAAATGACAAAAAAATAAATGAACAATTTAAAAAATTTAATCCTTTGTTGAATTTTATTCTTTTTTAAAGCTTTTCAGCAACTCCTTTGATCTAAAGGATTAGGAAAATTGATTTTTGTGGAATAATTGATCTTTCTTTTACAGGCTTCTTCATTGAAATCTCAATTGTTCTTGCCAAAATCCTTACTGATTATATCCTTTTGAAAATACAAAACTTTATAGCTTCCTTTACTTAATTTTGTTTTAAGCAAAATAAAATAATTTATTAGACAGTAATTATCTCAAGGCAGTTATATATATTCTAGGAAATTACAAAACAGATCGATTACCGGAACTCACATTTCAAGATTTGACGTCAATATTGAATGGTGGGATCAACAACAACTCGATGCTATTTTTGTTATTTTCAGCCTTTTGTTAGGTTCATTATACAACTTTTAAGATCGCTATGCTACAAACCATTTTGAATACAAGAAACATTTTTTACAGAATAAAAAAAAATATTGAAAATGGACCTTTTGAAGTGTAAAAGATTTGAATGGTTCCTATGGAAACTTTAAGCATGAAGAATTACAGAAAAAACATCGAGCATATATGCCTTTTTGAGCAGTAGCCTTGAGCGAATTTTGTTATCCTTAAACTTTATTAACTGAATTTAAATAAAACTTTTAAGATTCTTTTTTTTTGGATTCATCTTCAAAGAAAGTAACTTGGACTTACTGTTTGAGTTTAAGTTATCGGATTAAATGGAATCTGATATGTTGGTTTTACTAGTGCAACAGAAAGACATTTGTGGTTTCTTAGTAGCTAAGAAAGAAATTGAAAATTCTTTTTTAATAATAAAGACTAGTTTGATTCTTAACTTGTACTGAACTCAATTATCAATATTAAAACGGACTTACACTGGAGATACAAAAAAATTCTCAATTTAGTAAAAGCAACAGCTTTCAGAATCAAATTAAATCTATCGAATTCGAGGACTTTAAAGCAAAATATTTGCATCAAAAGCATTCGTAACAATGCTTTCGTCATCAAAGCTTAGGAACAAAATCATATATTATGCTAACCGTCACGTTGTTGTGGATATTGTGTTGTTATAACAAAGCTATTTTAAAATTTATTGTTATTTAAAACCACAAAATAATCAGAAAAATATCCAGCGAGATAAAAATAAAAGCAGTCAGTAATCACATTACCGAGTCATATTTCTGCGAATAATCTGAAATTGTTTATTATTGTCAGTTGAATCAAAATTGTATTCAAATCACACGCACCCACATTGAGTTTATAGAAACATCATATTGTCATCAATTTTTAGCTGAAACAAACACCAACGCGAATTGATATAAAATAAATCTATAATTATTTTTTATTCTTGATTTCACATTTTATTGCGTAATTTAATTCAAATTAATGAATGAGCTAATGAAAACATAAAATTGTACTATGATAAACAATTGCAACATTATTATTATATATTAATAATTTACTGTATTTACGCTGTAACATAATATAATGAAATAGATAACAGAATAATTGCAGTATATGAGAATTGAGTAAATGGCTTATCATCAAATAAGTTTTGTTTTCTTCTCTTGAGTATAGATCCTAGTATTATTTTGCCATCCTAATCTAAATTCAAACTTACTAAGTGCTTTATCCAATAATTTTTTTTTTTGTCTAAACTTAAATAATTTCCTCATCTCGCATTTGATTACTTTTAATGATTATGATTTCTTTTTTTTCACGAATGACTACAATTTACGATAATACCACAAAAAGATTTATTTTTTATCTAAAATTTGAAGCGCATAAGTTTGTTGTTTTTAGTTTTTCTTGGGAGTTTTCTCATATTTATTAGATAAGAAGCCGAACAGCACATTACTAGGGACCAGGACTTTTTTGTTTTTAATGGGGATGTTTACGAGACTATTAAAGTACCCTTAGTTTATAAACTTTAGAAGTAAACCATTGAAGAATTCTTGTAATAGCGACAATTTTGGAGTTGGATTAAACATTGCATGGATTGTCAGGAGCATAATTTGAGAAAGTGGCTGTCAAAAAAAACTTCTCAGTGAGAAAATTTCTTTAAAAGAAGAATTAGCATTAAGAAAAAGTAGATTTAATAGATTCTAATTGCTAAGTATGATCATCAAAGTTGGTTATAAACTTAGAAAGATATATTTGAGCCAAGAACGATGACAACAAGCTGAACCGAAGACAATAAGTTCAGCTCTCAAGTAATGTGCTGCTCGGTAGAACAAAAGAGAGAGGATCGTAGTCATTTGACCTATTCAATAAAGTTATCAGCATTTAATTATAGTTTAAAATTCCCAATTGTTTTTTGTTTCCATAATAAGTAATATTTCTTCATTATAACTATATTAAGTATTTATTTAATAGATTCCCTCTTGGTAGGATTAGATCATTTTCGTTTGTTTTTTTTTTGGGGGGGGGGTCATTTCAGAAGATTCAACTTTTTTTGTCAAGAAAAAAAAATGAAATTTTTAAGTAACTCAATTCTTTTGTTGAGTGTGTGATAATGATATTTTATAAATATTTACTACCTCGTTATAAGAGACAATGGTTAGGTTTATAATTTTTTAATTAGCAGCTTATGTTCCTTTTGGGTCGATTGAAAGCATGACATATGCACTCATTATTTATGAATAACGTTGATGAAGCTTGTTTTTGTAATTCTTTATGTAATAATCATATAACTACTAGCTTAATTATTATTATGCGTTAGACTCCTTTAAATTTTGTAATCTTTCTAATTGCTGTGAGTCTAGTTCTTCTGGAATTGATGCTCGTCCGCCTACAACTTGTTTTGGAACTCCTTCTGGTGATTCTTTCTTATTTTTCTCAGACGCATTGATTTCCTCAACTGTCTGCGATGCAAATGCATCCTCAAAATTAGCTTCGAAATTAGCTTCAAAATTTGATCCGAATCGATCATCTCCAAAACCATCGTCACATTGCTCTTTTACTTCTGGTTGTTTTTCCTTCTCGCTTATCTTCTCCTTCTTGACAGCTTCGCTGTTGGTTGGAGGTGGTTCAGTAGGCTCAGAACTGCTCACTTCAGGGAACTTTTTCTCCTCTTCAATCATCGGGGTGGCACAGGTTACTACGATTTGGGCTATATTTAAATTAGGTACTGTTTCTTTTTGCGATTTACCTTGGCTTTCATTTGCATCCTCATCGCCTCCATTTTCCTTCAAAGTTGATTGAGCATTCATGAAATAATTTAGATTTTTCATTAGTAAAAAAATTGAGCATAGAAAAAAAGACATCATAGCTAATTATAAAAAGAACATTGAGCAATAGATCAAGGTTAATCAATACGGAGGTGATAATCAAAATATTACAATCGACCTATAAATATAGGAGTGGAAAGAATGTGCAGGTGAAATGTTTTTTTTTTTAGAATATATACACTCAAAAGGTTGACATTTGGTGAATTGATCGATGTAAATGTAACAATGGAAAACAAAGTATTGTACCTCTTTATTCTCACAAATTATATTAACTGTACACATAGACGCATGAATGGGAAGAAAGACATGTAAATGTTAAATATGATTGCTTATATTCAATGAGTCATAATATTACCTGATGGAGGCGCAAATTTAGGCGGTTGAGATAAGTCAAGGTCCATTTTCCTATCACTTGAATGTGTCTGCGCTTGTGACTGTTCGAGAGCCAACTTGAGATCCTCTTGGGAAAGTAAATGTGGAGGGACAGTGGGTGGTAAGCCAAATCCAGCAGGTGCTGCAACATAATCCTCGTCATCTTCTTCCTCCTCTTCAGGCTCTGTTAAAGGCTCACCATTCTCGTCACACTCGTCAACGACCAAACTTGGAAAGTTTCCAATCTTTCCATCCAAAGCTCCCTCCCACCTACAAAAGAAAATATTTAATTTAAATATTCATTGTGGAAATCATTATGGGGTCGTTCACATATTTTGTAACCGCTAGATGTTAACATTTTTTGAATACCTCCTCTAGATATTGTGAGAAAATAAGAAAAATTTAATTTCGACACCCCCCCCCCCCTCTTCTTAAGCGTTACAAAATATACAATCAACCCCAACATTCAAATAGTATTGAGCAAGTCATACCATCCATCATCAACTCCGTGAGGTTCTTTTGTTATAAGTTTAATTATCTGTTGACAACAAAAAAAAATCAATTAAAAATTGAGAACTCATGAATAGTCATAAAAAAAGCTTCAATTACTTGTCCTTCTTCAAATGTCAATTCATCTTCAGCAGTAGCGTCATAATCATATAATGCAATGCAGTATAATTGATCGGATTTTTTCTTTACAGGCGCTGATATAACAGAAACTTGATCAGGTGATTGAACTGAATCTGGAAGAACTTCTTGGTCCTCGTTATCGACAGTATAGTCAACGGATGAGAATGAGATCTGTGCAGCCATCTGCGTTTGCTGCTCATTTGTTGGAACATCACGTTCAACATCCAAGTAATTATGAGGAACAAAACCTTCCTCGCCTCGATAATTTCGAGCACGTAACCATCCATCACCTGTGCACATGTGTATGCATAAAAAGTACGCAAGAATTAATGATAACAAATTGTTCAAAAGTTGTGGATCAAAATTTCATACCATCGCCTTCTCCAACCACTTCTAACTGTTCATTTTCAACGATAGTTAACTCATCTGGATTTTGGGCCTAAAAAATGAACAGCATGTGTTACGATATTCATGCCTTTAACTTTGTTTTAATGTCTAATACTTACAGTATATGAATATAGAGCTGTACATTTGTAAGTTTGAACAGTATTATTCGTTGAACTTGTCGATGACGGTATTGTTTCTACTACTGCTGGCGGTTCTTCCTTTTCAGTGCCCCAATCAACTGATGTTGGATCTACAGTAAATAGAGGTTTAATAGCAGTAATTAATCATGTAATTAGATCACAATTTTAACCTTCCCAAGCTGCAAATTGCTCAACAGATTGTTGTTGCTGTTGTTGTGGCATCTGCTTAAATGGTTTATCATCTTCATCGTCCTCAAATTCACTGGACTCATTGAATGATTCATGATATGTATCACGCTTCTCATCAACTGACTTATTACTTGTGGAAGCCTGAAGAGCTTGCTTTTGATGTTTTGTATCCACTTCAGCATTATCGCTATCATAGAAAGAGTCCGAACTTGGATGATCACCATCGCGAGATGCATCAGTTTTAAGTGACGCATCACTTGATGATCTTGGAATTTCTTGAATACTCAATGTTTCAGCTTCTTGCAGCCACTCTTCAATACTTATTCCTCCCTGTTTCAAGCATTCAAGTTTTGCTTCTGCTTTTAATTTCGCCACTGATGATTTCCTTATCTGTTCTCTCAATTCCTCCATTTTTGTGTCAAGATCCGGTCCATTTTGATCATTCGGATCAGTACGATGACCATTATCTCTAAGTGCTTGACAAGCAGCTAAACGTCTACTGTTTTCTCTAATAGAATGATTTTCACGCGCAACACGAGCTGCCCATCGTTTACCCTCATGATTAAGTGTCTGAAGGACAGTATCATGTTCAGCAGTAATTTTACGAACTGGATCATTGTCGCATGGTTCGAATTCATATTGAATGTGTTGCTTGAGCACTGGATAGTATAAATAAACACATTGTAAATTATATTCACGTGTCAATTGATTTGCCTGATTGCAAATCTTTCCAAACGAGTTTTGTGTTGCAGAGCATGTCAACAATTCAGTACGTCCGATGAGTGCTAAAAAGTCTGCAATACGATCATAAACATTAAATTCCATTATCTGCATTGTCGTTTGTAAATCCGTTGTAAAATAACGATTTTGATGGGAATTTGCGGATGCAAGACTAAGAATGTAGTCATTACGAGCTCCAGTAGATTTTTCCTCAAGTTGTTCCTTTCTCGACGTGACTCGTGCGCTATTCTTTTGTAGTGATGTAATCGATTGGAAAAAGCTTCCTTTTTTCTTCTTCAATTTCTCTTCGATATCGCGAGCCTTATCACGAACGTCATGTGCACAATGCTCCTCATCGAAATACGATTTTTTCGTCTTGTCAACATCTTGTACTGTTTGCTGCAAATCTCTTTGAATATTACCCAAACCTTCGACGCTACGCTTACTTATTCCTAACTTGTGTGCTCTCAGTATTTTGGTTTCATCTGCAATGTCTTGGTGCAAAACTTCAACCGCAGCTAAACGTGCTCTTGCCAATTTTTCATTCTCCTCTAGTACAGTTGTCCAAACATTCCACATGTTCCTTTTTTTTTTGTTGATTATAAATAAAGCAATGACAAGAAAAGAAAATAAAAAGGAAATGTTAATGAGTTTACATAACAAAAATCGATAAAGAGATTTTTGCATAATTTATAAAAGCAATTTTCAGGTCTGAGACTCTTAAATGAACTGTCAGTGACAAAGTTAACGCTTCTGAAGAGTTTTACTTAATGTTCATGGAACTCATGAAGTGATTTTAAATAGTCTTATCAGATTACGAAGCTTAATAAGCCTTGCTTTTACAAATGAAGGTCTGCTTTTTATTCACTTTAATTTTGTGCAAGTTTTAGTGAAAAGAAGGAAGTTTTTTGATTTAGAATAAATTTAATTTTAAAATAGATTGTAGCTTGCGAAAATCAAAAATAAATCTGGAAGTTTTTGATCAGAATTCTGGACATTCTAAAGCTTTTAAACCATTGAAGATGTAATTTGAATTTGTGAAAGTTTTAATTTCGACACCTTTGATTCAAAAAAGGTTTGTTTTCAGTCAAAAATTTAAAGAAAACTTTAATTTTCAAATTTAGAGTTAAATCTGTGGAAGTAAGTACTTTTGCATGCTTATTTAAGTTTTAAATTAATGAACAAGATTAAGAAGAAAGTAAATAGCGTAAAATGATGGAAATATCCAAAACTGCATCATTTTAACCATTGCTAATTTGTTTCATACGACGAAAATGTTTAAAATCTACTAATTCTAAACTTTTATAGTCCTTGTCAACAAGCTTGTCTCTCATTCTATGTCATAAAATTTCTCATATTTAAAAACTTCCATCAACAAAACATGGATAAAACTTTCAAGAAGCATGTAAGCATGCAGTTTACTGTTTTGACGCTCACGAAAGGAAATAAAATTTTCTACCTTCAATTTATTAAGTTGAGCATGTAATCGATTACATGAGGTTGTGCAAAAAAAAGGGAAAGACTTTTAATATTTATAATGAGACATTGACCTCAGTCGAGCCTATTTGTTTTAAATTTCCATTGAAAAAAATTGTATAAAAGTTTTAAAAGCTTTTTCAGAACGCGTGCTCATTTTCTTTTTCTGCAGGGAATTGAAAAAAAAATAAGAACTTTGAGGCTCACCATTTTTCATCAGCACCGTCCATTTTTATTTCGGGTATACTTGGTGATTTCTTATTTAAATAAGACGATGCAACTTTTAAAAGAGCTTCGCTGTATTGTTTTTCGATTGCCGATCGCTTTATAACGAATGTTCTTATATCTTCTAGTAAATCACATTCATGTTGGTTTTTTAATTGTAACTTTGCGAGCTGTTCGGTGTGTAGGTTTTTCAGAAACTTGGTGTAGTTTCCCTAAAATTAAAGATTAAGGAGGAGAATGATTGCTAAAGTTTTGATTTGATATAGATAAGTTTTCCTTGCTGTTCCTGGTTTATATTCAAAAATATCTTGGAAATCATTAGATGATTCATAAGTATTTAAAATCTTTAAATTTCGGTCCTTTTTATCAGGTTTAATTGGAACTATAGTGAATTTATATCCAAATTAAACTTCCTCAGTTTTCAATGAAATTTTTAAATAACAAATCGGATTCCTTGAAAATTACATTGCCCAATTCTAGTTCCAATCCAATATCTGGGTTTATCCTAAAAAAGGTTTGTTGGTCGTTGTGTTGAAAGTAAATAAGCATTAACGATATTATAGGGATCGATCAGTAAAAGTTGTTTGAAAGTTTACTTGAATTGACAGAAAACCTAAGAAACTCCAAATTGATTTTTATGGTATTTTGAATTTGATTGAGATTAATTCAAGCATAACAGGAAAACTATAAATCTCTCTAGGTATATAAAGAAAACTCAACCATCTATGTAAAGGAGACACTTAGCTTTTACCTCCATCGAATAGCACAATAGTATCATACGTTTGATTAGCACTATCTATTACACAAGCTTTGCACGATTTTGGTACCATGGGATTTAGTCACAAATTGTCAACAAAAGCAATTAATCAACTGAGCAAGGAAATGACTTTGTGGATTGTACGAAGGTTGTCGTAGTCATCAAGTTACAGCCATTAAATAATATAAATTCACTAAGATTACCTTTCTCGGTGGTTGCTGCATCTTTATTGCTGGGTTTTTAAAAATTTCTCATACACGATTTAAATTTTAATATTAATTTAAGGATTCCTTATCTGATTAAGAGTTAAAGGCGAGAAATAATGACGATATTTATTAAGAATTAATATTTTTTAATAGAATTTGAAGCACTTATATTTCTTTAATCAATTTAACACTTAACGTCTAAGCACTTATTTGTCTAAAATTCATATTTAGAGTTCTTCATTCTATTCCACTTGATCTGATCTGGAAAAAAGGAAATTAGGGAAATGTTTAAAAGCCTTATAGGATAAAGGGTTGTTCATTCAATGACGTCCAAAGATAATTTGAGGATTTTAGAAATCAAACTTTTTCTCTAACACAGTTACAAGGTTGAGTAGAAATTCACTCTTTTGGTTAGAATATTTCTTTGATTTTCTGAGAAAATTTAATCTTAATTGGTCTTTAGTCTACGACAAGTCCAAAAGGTGGTTTTTGGTATAGAAACCCTCCGCTGAGAGTCACCATAAAATTATTATTGACTTAAATTTATTTAAAATCTTTCAATTTTAAAAAAAATTGACTGAGTTTCATTCTCACAATCTTAAGCACAAAACTATTTACCAGATTTATATCGATTCTACTAAATCCCCAAACTCTGACTCTTAAAAGTTGGACATCATCTTGTGTATAACCCTTAAAAACTCCTTTGAACTTAAGTCGTCTTGACTCAAGAAATTCACTTTAATATAAATCTATATCTCATTCCTTCTTGATTTTTATTAAGGAAATAAGAAAATTTGTGAAGATGAAGGAAAGTAAAAAAAAAATATTTTCTTCACCCTCCTCAAGCTTTTCTTTTGATATCGATTGTCTACAACATTTATTCTTTTTTTTCGAGTGGGCTTTTGTTTCGCGTGTGTGTGCTCTAGAAACCTATTGAGGATTCAAAAAAGAGAATTGGAAGCTTCCAAAGCAATTCATGTGAGCCGGTCTCTCAAAATGTTTATTTTGCGCCACACAAAGCACATGGTTGTGGATTATTATCCTTTCTCTAATTGGAAAATTTCCTCGTGGCTTGTGGGAAATTTAGATTAAATATATTCTCTCATTTTGAGGCGTGCGCACTCGCATTTTTCAAAGTGAAAAAAAAATTTTCTTTAAAAATGACTTTTTTGATAAATTCAAATCGGAAATTCTCGATGGAAAACAAAAAGTTTGAGGATGTTTCACTTTACACGGGAGATGAATTATGTTAACTTTAGATTGGTATTAATATTAAAGTAAATTTCATCAAGATTCTTTTAAATTTCAAAAATAATTTACTGACTCGGTTTTCACTTCTTATCAAATTGATTCTGAATATGAGAGACTGATGAGTCTTTCCAGTTTCCAGGACTTAACTTTTATTTATATTTATAGAATTTCTAATTATTCTTCTTATTATTTTTAAAATTTTTATTTTTGTCAAGTCCGTTGTCTTTCTTTGGCAATTTTATTGAGACTAAAGTAAGTAATTTATTTTGTTATCTTTTAATAGACTTGAAATTGAATGTGATAAGATTTATTTTATAGGTGAAACTAGTAAAAATACTTGAGAATAATGACTAATAAATTCCAACGCATTTCTCCACAGCTGAATCACTTAACTTATTATGGAAATACGAACCCCATGTTGACCTAATTTCAGAAATAATTGAATTTTGTAAAATAATTGATATTTTAAACTTTTTAAAATTTCAACGGTTATTCAAAATTCAAAATTTAAACGGCTTTCAAAAATTCAAATTCAAGCATGAAGATTTAAAATTTCAAAAATTTAACGGTTTTGAGTAGTCAAAGTGAATTTGAATCCTCACTCTTTACAGCCAAACTCTTGAGCAAAATGCACTGAAAAACAATAAGCTTATAATCAAGAAATCTTTATCTATGTAGGAATTGAATTATTGAGAAATATTTTTATTATCTTTTACCAAAAAAAAGCATATTCTTACAGAGTATGTATTTAACGTACAGCAATTGGAGTCAATGCAGGCTTAGCATCAATTGATGGTGCAAAGAATACACGTCTTTCAATGCCGTCTTTAGTAATGATTCCAATACGACAAACTCCACCGGAACTGCCATCATGATACATAGCATGAAATACTGCCTTCTTTACAAACTCTACACAAGCTTCCTTCTCCATATTCTCGGAATAATTTTCCCGAACGAATCCATAAATAAATGAACTTCCAGATCCACCGATTGTGCAACTTTGACGAATCAACATTCCACCTAAAGGAACTGAAAAGACTTGACCTCCATTAACATCATCATATCCAGCTACGATAATTCCAGCTGTAATAGAATCACGATAATTATAACACATTCGACGGAATTCAGCAGCAACTTCTGGAACTGTTGCATCTCTATTATTTTGATTCTCATAAAAGTATGTCGAATATGATACAATATCAGCTATAGCTTGCGTATCAGCGGCACTTCCACTTCGACAACAATAAACTTTATCCGTAATTCTTGTTAATTTATCAGTCACACGATTTGCTACATAAGATCCAGTTGATGTTCTGGAATCAGCTCCAATGATGACACCACCATTAAATTCAACAGCCATAATAGTCGTCTAGAATAGGTATTTAAGTAAAAACATTATTTGTTTACGAGCATTACGGTGCAGAAATTTTGTTATTAACCTTTTTTCTATGAAAATGGATTAAATACTATAATACTTACACCTGTCGATACTGGGTGATCGAGAAAATCACATCCTAAATGAGCATCCATCGATAGTTTGTTGATAAGAGCTTTATTTTTCAGTAAAATTAATTAAATTCAATTTCTTTGCAGAATTCGTGACTTTATTCTTTTTTTTAAACTTCCACGCAAATAAAGGAAGTTGAAGACGATTTTTCAAATTGTGAAAAACCGGTAAGACATTGAGCTTTCTAGAGCAGCTGGCGATACAGAAATGTTTATTGATGAATAAACCCATTAAAGGAATGTATGTGGTTAATAATATTGCAGTTTAACTGCCGCATAAAATAAATTTTGGATTGTAGCTTTTCTTCTGAGCGATATGAATCTTAAAATTCAAAATAACCGCTTTTTTCGGTAAATCTTGACTTGCTGCAAGGGCAAATAAGGCTAGTATAATTTTGCCTAAATCTTATAAATCTGTGTGAATATCAAGTAATTTCGTGATCTTGTGTATTTAATTATTATATTAGTAGTACTGACGTCATTATATTCTCATTGTAGTTCGAGTCGTACCTGTTAAAGGATAATAAAGTTAAGTTAAGAAGGTTAACGGATAAATTAAAGGCGGAAGAATGTCAGTAAATTTGGATGATCTCTCAAATGATGAGATTCGGATTAGATTACAGCAATATGGATTTGCTAATTTACCAGTCACTCAAACAACTAGGAAAGTGCTTGTAAAAAAGCTTAAAAATGCTATGGAGAATGAAAAGGCAAAGAACCGACGTGAAACAATAGCTGTTGTAAAAAGTAGCGATGATGAGGATGTTCCAGATCCAAAAAAGAGAGAAAGAACACCAAATCGTCGTGCAACTATAGCTGTAACTGAGAAAACGAAGAAAGTTCCAGCATCATCATCATCAGCTGAGTCTATTCCTGAACTCCCAGCACCAAAAACAACATCCCGTCGTTCTACATCTCGCGCAACACCGGTAAAAGATCCAAAGCCAGTTGTTTCGTCTACTGAAAATGTCATTAATGAATCTGATGATGACATTGTTGAAGTAAATACATATACAAGAAGGTCAAAGACACCGACAATGTCCAAGAGTGAAACAGTCAGGACATCATATAAGAATCAAGTTGAAACAATTGCTGATCCAATTCCTGAAAAGAAGCGATTTGTTGAGGAAGTTATCATACAGCCTAAGATTCCAATTCAAACAGCAACTCGTCGCAAGACCGCATATACATCTACAGTTACTGAACAATTTGAATTGCCTCCACGCATTGATACGCCTACAAAGTTTGGAAAGACATCACTCACAACATCCTACAATCCAACAACCAATTACAGATTCGAGAAAGAAAAGGAAAAGGTACAGGACGACGATTATGAATTTGATGAGGAGGAAACTCCTTATTTGTCTAATTTCGCTAAGCGTTTAAGCACATTAAAGGCAGAGCCACTTGATGCAAGCATTAAGCCTAAAAGCACTAGTGCATACACTGAATATCGCAGCAGTAATGATAATTACTCATCAGTTCCAGCAACAAGCTATAAATACTCTCAGTACGGCAGCAGTTCTTCATATCAGCAAGCTGTAAAACGTACAGGAGTTGTCAATCAAATGACAAAGGACTTTAATACAATGGATCGAAAATATAGTGTCCGAAAGTACGTCTACATTACCTTAATCATCATGTTAATTATTGCGATTTACGTTCTTTTGTTTCTATAATTGAGTAACTTCTTGAAATACTAAGGAATATGCCTTGCATGCTAGATTAAATTCCATGTTAACAAATCACATCATGATCAACAAGATTTCTTCTCTTATATCTCTTTTCTCTATTAAAATATATATTTTTGTAATTTTTATGTCATTTTTTGGTTTTAAAGGAAATAACATAACAAGTTTAACATACAATAATCTTTAATTTTGTTTTATTTGTGATTTTTAAGATTTTCGGGAAATTTCTTCATTTTCAATAATGTGCAGCATCAAAATATTGAAAAAGTGTCAAACAACGTTGTTGTAAGTCTGATTTGTTGAATGAAATCATGAAAAACATAACGGTGCGAAAAAATTCAAAATTTCACGCTTTTTAAATGGCTGTTGTACGGTTTTATTTTCTCAAAACAGAATTTTGGATCAAGTTTTCAGCCTTTCTGAAAACTTGACTTATTGATTGTCAAGAGCATTATGACAGCAGAAAAATACATATAGTATCAATGAAACAACATAATTAGTAAAAACAAACAACTTAAATTCAACGGTTGTTTACCGTTCAAATTATTAGCTGTTGAACAGTTTTGAAGCATTCAATAACTGTTGTATGGTTTTGAAGCATGTAAATAAATGACTGTTGTATGGTTTTAATTTTTTCAAATTCAAATAAACCGTTGATAACGGAAAAATCCAATAAGTTTACCGAAAACCTTAAAAACGTTAAATTAAGAGCGTGCGAATAAAAGTTTGTAAAAAAATTTTCTTTATAAATATGCTAAAGCAGTGCTAAAATTTTTTTTTATAAAAAAAATACTTATTTGTAAAAGGACGAAAAATAAAGAATAAAATTGCGGAAAAACAAGTTGCGTGGTGCTTAAGCCATCAAGAAAAACTATCCATTTTCGTTGGAAAACAATGGATGTGGAAAATTATGAGAATAGCTCTGAGAATTGTAAAATTATGAAAAGTGAAAATAATGAAATTTCTGTAAGATTTTTATCGTTTTACCAATTACCAATTAGAAAACTAAGTTAATTATCCTATAAAAGATGTAAAGGACGAGCTTATCTGAAAGTTTACATCATTTATAGTGACGAGAAGTGGATTTCATTGAGATTTTCCATAAAATTTTCTTCTTCGTCTCACTTTTTGTTTATTTCTCGTTAATTGTGGATGTAAATTCCATTAGACTAATTAAAATGACCAATTTTGAATGCCTTTTAGAATTCAACATTAACAGCAGCACGTATAATTACCAGCTCTGATAATGGAAATCATCAATGGTAAGGAAAATTCCATCAACACAATTAAACTAGTGCCTGGCTAGTGCTATAGCATTATCCAATTAACGATATTAATGATGCCTATATGCTCTGTATGTATGTTATTATTTAAGGAAACTCGTAAATGTTCCCGTGACTCTTCCCATGATCGGAGATCAGATGCAACACATAATGAAGCCCATGCTTTGTCTGGACAACAATGGATTCTTATCCAGTAACGTCATATCCACAACTGGTAATGATGGAAATGATGTAAAAGCCATTGTGATTCAACAACAACAGCCAACGGCTGAACAAATTGCGGCTGATGTACAACAACAATTACAGATTAAGGTGGAACAGCAAGTTAATAGTCAAAATCATCAGAATAGCACAACGGGAAACAGCAACAATCACTTATCATCATCGGGATCAAGTTGGGCTGAACAGCCAATGAACATGGATGTACTAACGATTCGTTGTAAAACAACAACAGCGGAATTATTTAAAACTAGACTTGGATCAGGCGGTCGTGGACGATGCATAAAGCTCAAAGACAAATGGTACACACCAAGTGAATTTGAAAATCTTTGTGGACGTGGATCAAGTAAAGATTGGAAGAGATCTATAAGATATGGTGGTCGGAGCTTACAAGCCCTTATTGATGAGGGGATATTGACCCCACATGCAACCAGCTGTACATGTGCTGCGTGCTGTGATGATGATGCTAGTAAGTTACATCTTCTAATCTAATTTTAGAAACATCTGAGCATTATTAGATTCATGCTATAAGCATAAGAATGTTCATAGTGCATTCTAAAATTAGATCAATTATTTTTTATCTGCTTTTTTTTTTGGATATACTTATTCTAATTTACATTCACATTGTTGTAGCTGCATCGGGTCCTGTACGTTTATTCACACCCTACAAGCGTCGACGAAAAGCACAACAGGATCAACAGGAGAATCCAAATTCCAGCGGAAATGGACAACATTCTGTTTCGGCTGCAAATGTGACTATTTCGTCGCCCGTAGTGACTACAAATAATGCTAGCAGTACGATAAATAATAACAATAATATCATCAACAATAACACAACAACTCAACAACTTCACATTCAAACAACACCTATACAAAATAATAACAATAATAATACTGTCACTTTCAATGCAAATAATGGGATCAAGAAGAAGCGATTTAACTTAAATATCATTAATGTTAAACCTAGTGAAAGTTCTGATGACATTGAATCTGAGAATATTACATTTACACCGACAGTTACGGCGCAACCGGCGGTTAAGGAAGAGGAGGAAGCAGTCACTCCTTGGCAGACCGTCACAGAGGCTATTCAAGAAATTCCTTCAGACTACGTGGACCAAACACGTGAGACACTTCTTTCCTTTGTCTTATTATTCTATTACTTAATCATTTCCCGTCCACTTGCAGTATTATCAGAATTTAACGTGCCATTCGAACGTATGCGGAACATCCAGAAACAAATAAATCAATTAAGTAGCGATCTAAAGCGATGCATGGACGAGTGCAAGGAGATCTACTTGAAACACATTGAACGTCTTCAGCGAGAACGCGACACAGCACTGCTCGCGGCTAGTCAAATTGAAGATCCAAATAATATTAATGCTCAGTTGCCACCGGGAGTTGAAATTTCAAATAAGAAGGTGAGTGGAAGCACTTTGGTTTGTTTATAAAATTAATTAATTTAATTAAAATCCTCAAAATTAGTGTGCTAATTGTAATCGTGACGCAATGGCTGAGTGCTCCTTATGTAGAAGAACACCGTATTGTTCAACATTCTGCCAGCGTAAAGACTGGATAACGCATCAGAATGAATGTATTCGAAACAACGAACCGACTCAACAAATTATGCTGATAGTTGATCCTGAATGAAATTCAGTTATGAGGTGAGTGGCTGACTTACTTTTGACTGAATAGAATTTAACAGAATCGAGAGAGCCACGTGCTGAATTTGAAAATGACAAGCTTTTATAACGTATTTTTAACATTTAAACATACGAAAACCTCACAAATGTTCTGTAAGATTCTTGAAAGTAATTTGTACTGTTTTCTCCGGAACACTACAATAGTAAACCTCGGAATTGTATTGTTCTAAGAAAAGCATTTATAGTGTTTTAGATATGGCGGCTGCAGAAGGAAACATTTATATGGCTTTTTAACACAGTTGTAAGTTTTGAAACATTTGTAGGGTTTTTTGGAATATTATCTAGAATTTTGGGATTTAAAGGCTTCCATAAAGAACTGTTGTCAGGTTTTTTTAAAACATTTGAAGGGTTTTGAGACATTTTAAATTTAATCCTAGAAATACATAGTTACTAACCACAACGTTCCTTCTCTTCTCTTTTTAGCAAACCAATATTGAAAACCATCATTTTTAAATAGAACCTCCTTAAATTTATTTTAAAAAAAAATCATCAAGAAAAAAATTAATATGTACCATGGAAGTGATGGTACGACTGTGAATAAAACATTTGGGACTTAGTTTCATCATATACTACAAATTTATCATCAAGAGTACAATTTTTGATTAATTTTTGTTTCGCTTGACTGTGAAAAACAATCTTGGAACCAAAATACACGGAAATTAAAGTGCAGAAGCTTGTTTTCCTTAAAGAAAAACACACACCCTGACACACACTTAACTACCTACCTATCATTGTTTAATTTTGTCATCATTATTTTTAATTATTTTAACTAATTTATGTTATTTTCTTTCTCTTATTTGATTCTTTTTTGTTGGAGCTGCTTGGCTTCGTGTCTGTGTGACTTGGTAACTAGACAGATATTCACTCAACCATTTAAGCTCTGTTTTTTGTTTGTTTTTTTAATTTTCTTTTAATTCTTTTGAATGATGATGTTGAGGATATGAATGTTGGTTTGCGACCAACGGCTAGAATGCGGAAAGTTAAATGAAAGTGCAGTGAAAAAAAATTATTTAAAACACAAGAATGAAGAAAAATGTTTCCCATACTTATACAAATTAGAGATATCCTCTTAAATATGTAGCTTAAGTCATTTTTCTAAGCAAATGTGAGAGAGATGTGAAAGAATATGATTGGAAACTGTAAAATCGGATAAATTATAAAATGTTGTGTGATCACAGTGCTGAAGAGAGTGTGGTGGATGCTAAATCAGCTGATGTGGATTAACTAGGGATGTTGCTAAGTTGATTGAAGGATAGACCATGATAAACAGTTTTTGGAACTTGAGGGGGCTTATGAACTGCATCAAACTGTGGACTAAGTTTAATATGATGGTTAGGATCAGAAAGTATCTACATAGACTTGTAAGACAAGCTAATTACAATAATCTGAGCCATTCCTAAATGTGACAAAAACGTTGTGTCTAAGCTAGAGAGTGACTTATTTAACCATCATTCAGATTAGTTCTAGTACTGACTTGACACAACTTTAATGAATTTCATTTCCTGCTCTTCTAAGCCCCTTAAATCATAAAAGATCTAGACTGACTCGATTTGCTGTTTGATTGTGTTCATTTAGACCAAAAATAGTCAAAATTTTGTGTTTAGCAGCACGAGTCGATTAGATTCCTCAACTTAAAACGTTAAGGTTAAGTTGGAGTGAATTAGGCATCCTTCAATGTTTAATGACTGACATGACGACAGATTTAGTCTGTTCTAGTCAAGAATTTAAGAAAGCAGAGCTTAGACATAGCAACAAGACCACAAAGGCTGCATCTGAAGCAACCTCTCTACACAGTGATCAAGCAACTCTCAAAAGGTATAAAATACACAGAGTAAAATCTTCTGTCAATGGAAGCAATTCTCTGTTTCTGTGACTTTGAAGGACTCAAGAATGATGAATTAATCTGATTTAGATTTTAAACATTGATGAATAATGTGAGACGTGAATAATTGGTTTATTTGTCAACTAAATTCTTCTAATATGCAATTATGAAAAAAAAAGTTAATTAATTAAGTCGATTTCATCATTGTTCAACCAAATATTACATATTAATGTAAAATTGAAAATAATTAATTAATGTGAGGATTAAGAAACAAAAAAAATCCATAACTTCTTTTTCATCTTCAGTAAAACACAAATAAATATAATTAAATAAATATAAATTGCAGCTTAAGAAGCTCGTAAATCCTTTATGTTTAAATAAGAAGAAAAAAATATTAGTTTTGAAAGGAGAATATGGATATGTTTTAACATTAAGTAATTTACGTCATAAAACATAATATTAAATGAGATATAAATTAATTAAAATGTGTGAATTTCAAACCCAATTTGAGCTGGAATTGGTGGTAAAATTTTGACAATTTTTTAACGGAAATTTTGAATTTGAATAATTAACGGTAACTTTAAATATGAATTTATTCAGCTGAATTCAGCACAAAAATTTGAAAATAATAAAACCGTTTAAAATTCTTCCTCATTTCTTCGTGAAATCATTGTTAACTTACCTAATATACATACCTTACTTACTCTTAATAGACAACGCACAATCAACAAAGCAAATGCATCTCATAGATTCGCCAAAGTTAACGTTCAACGACTTGCTGAATTCTGCTGAATAGTTATAAAATTCAAATTTTGGCAGTTAAAAGTTGACAGAATTTTCAGAACCAAATCAGCTCACGTTGTTCAAACCAAAAAATTTCATGAAAATTGCATAAAAATGATTTTGAAAGTGTCACGGATTTTTGTAAAAAAAAACTTTAATTAAAGAAATATTGATAATGAAGAAATTACAAGAACTATATGAAGGAAAAATAAAAAGTAAACAATTTTTATACGACATTGTAAGTAATTAGAAAATCATACAAATGAGTCAGTAGATTTTAAATTAGTGGTAAATCATAAGCAGCTGTTCAGATTCTGTTTCAATTCTTTTTAGATGTAATTTTGTCATCCACTAAACTGAAAATTATGAACAAAGTTCTTTTTCTGAATATATTGAAAAATAATAAAAATTTAAATAAAATGAGTGGAATTTTCTTTTATTCTTTTTTTTCTACTTTTCAATTTGTTTTTTGTTTTTTTTTCTGGAAGATTATACAGGTTTAATTTTCTTTATTTATTACAATTTATCCTAGGTATTTAATCTTTTAGAATGTGTGCAGAATTTCAGGTTGATTTAGAGATATCACTGACAAGATACGATTTTTTATTGATCATATACGATGAATAATGATTTTTGACTATGCTCGTCGTTAATATGAACATTTTGTCAAAGTTTTGTAAACGATTGCAAAAGCAAGATATAAAGAACTCGACTCCAAATCATTAATTCCAATTTCAATTCCTACTTACTTACTTCCTTGGATGAGGCGCACGTGGACCCATTGCCGCGCTTAGAGATTGTTTTAGACTGCTTTATTCCTTGAAAGCTTCTGCCAGTTCGAAATTTTCATCACATCCAATCCAGGAATTCTTCGGTCTTCCTCGTGATCTTTTGCCATCCACAAAGTCTTCTATTATTCCTTTGATACTGGGCCACCTTGTGAGTGTCTGACAGGACCATAAATTGCTCCCCGTATACGCAAATTTAATTGTGAATCGTACGCCATTTCAAAGTCGATGAGAAAGTGCAGTCTCCGTATTCTTATCATCGCTTTTTTGAATGATCTGTCTTGTGCTATGAATTTGGTCAATTCTCGAAGGTTTCAAAGGATAGAATTGTCTTTAAACGTTCTCGAAATCTACCTTCATTCCACAGAATCATCGTGTCTGTTTATAGTCAGTCTATAAATGTATATTTAGCTGCTGTACTCAAAAACCAGAAGCCCTATTTTGTATTGCTTATTTAAAAAAAGAAAATCGAATTATTAAAAACGGTTTTATTGAAAATTTATAGCTTCAAGGTAAACAAATCTAGGTGGAATCGTGAAATCATAGTTTCTACTTCCTCATCGATATGAAATTCTGCACACTTTTAATACAATTTCTTATCATTTTCATGTACTCGTTTAATTTTATCATCAACAGTGACCAGATTATTATTCAAAAGAGATATTAATGGTTTTTAGTACGTGTCTGATTCATTTTTGCTCTCCATTCTCCTTGATATATCCATATTTTCTAAATCTGTATACATTTTTTTCTCTCTAATATTTTTTTTTTTATTTTTAATTATCTTTTTCTCTTTATACAAGGCATCTTTCATCATAATCTCTGCTTTACACCACCTTTTAATATCTAAATATATGTCTGTGTTCTGTTTATATTACATACAGGAGCTTCAACTCACATAAAATATGAGAAACTAAAGCTCAAGTGTCTATTTTTTTCATATATATAAAGTAAAAACATTCTTTTTTAATAGCAAATATTTTTGTTTTATCCATTTCAATTCTTTGGTAACTGACTTCTTTGCTTGCATGCTTTATTTTTGAGGGGAAATTCATTCTCATCCATTGATCGAGTTGCACATTGCAGGAACCCACCACCCATCCTATTCGTGACTCAATTCAAATCTAAGGATCCCATACTAGGTTCATGCTTAGGCCCCTCAAAGTCAACCCAGTGACATCATAAATCCCCAATTCTGCGACAATGTGCAACTCGTGTAAGTTAATTCATGTCATTCTCATTGATTTAAAAACAAATTTGACTAAACTATATAAAAAATATGTTAAAAAACATGTAAAACAATTGTGTTAAAAATAAGTTCAAGTGTACTCAGCATGATGGGAAATTTCATTTCCACAATTATTTTTTTTTGTATATTTGGGGTCGTTCATATATGACATCCATCAATGTTGGACATGATAAATGAATGAGCCCATTTTTGTGTAAGTTTTGGAAAGCACAAAATCATTAATTCTTCACGTGCTTTACAAAAGCCTCTGTTAATCTCTCAGGATGTCCTTTTTATTGATGTCAAAGATGTAAATGTCATCTTTGTTCTGTAAAACGAAATCCACAAAGGCATTAATAGGGCCAATCTCATCCAAACTCATCTGATCGTTGCGAGACCAAACCTAAGCATAAGATTGAGAATGTCATTTATATGTTAATGACTCTTTATTAGCTAGATATTTACCATATTTGGACCAAATACTATGGCCAAGTTTGATGATGTCATTTTGTTAAAATCTTTTCTATCCATAATCTATAATGTTCGAGTTGAGAACGATAAGAAATGATTGTTGAGGATTTATGCAAAACTTACTTGAACTAAGAATTCGATGATATATTTAAAGAGCTCATAATTTTCAACAGGTAATTTCTCACGAAGAATCAATTTTACATTTCTTGATCTCTCCTCTTTTGGCCAGTCTACAAAAAAAAATAAAAGATGAAAACAAAATTTATGCGTTAAACTCTTTCTATGCGAGAAATTTCGTTGTGCTTTATGGATTATACAGTTAAAACTGTTTTTTATCACTCGATTGCGCTCGAGTTTCGTCCAAAATAAACTTTATCAAGCCACAAACGAACAACATGAATCATCAGTTCAATTTTCTAGACTGCAACTCTAATTCAACGGTTTTTCCTAATTCAAATTTTTAACAGCTTTTCGGAATTTGAATATTCATAGTTTAAGACCCTTTTTAAAATTTCAAATTTCCGTTAATTCTTACATTTTTTCCATAACTTATAAGTTAATATTATTGACTCTTTTTGACCACAAAAAAACATGTGTGTTTACATATTTATCCAATCAAGCACGCATGGATCAAACAATCAATTTTACTGAATAAAAAGGTAAACACAAAGGCCATAAAGAGCGTAAAATGGTTTATGTACACTAATTTAGCGTGTCCTTTATATAATTAAGAAGAATCGTTAAACAGTCAATCGAGTCAATCAAGCTGTGTGCAACAATTAAAGTTTTCGTAACAAGCAACAAAGTGAAACTTACCTAAAAATTGAATGATTTCATCATAAAGCTCATACGTTAGAAGAGGCTCATGAAGATCTCTTAAGAATGTCTTTAAGATTCCAGCAACAACGTGAGTATCCTCACTTGACATATCAACTGTAGTACCTTCATTAATTTTCCTCTTTAATTCATTTATACGTGATATATTTCCACTTCGCCTGAAGATTCCCTCCGTATCTATGACTAAACAAGTTTTGATAAAGCATTGTTAGATCAAGCCACAATAATACACAATAATATAGCCTGTAAAGTTACCATCAGATAATGATAAGTGATCCACACACATACGAACGACAGGTGGAATATAATTTAAGCATGGACTGTTTTCGTTAATGAATTTTAGTGTCACACCAAACTGAAATGAAGCATGTTAGCAAAATGCTGATAATCTAAGGACATTCTAGTGTCTTACTTGTGTGGTTTTTGGAGGATTTGTAAGTGACAATTTGCTGCCGTTGCGTGAATTATTGTTATTTAACAGTGATGACTTTTTCGACGATAAATTAAGCTTCTCATCGAACCTATAAGCGAATGAAAAACAAAATTGGTACGTGAATTGGAAAGATTGAAGGCTGTTGCAGCTTTCGTTTTAACGGTTTTTTGAAATTCAAATTTTAACGGTTATAAAATATTTGAATATTTTTTCGTTAAAAATTCAAATTTCAGAGAACCGCTAAAATTCAAATGTCAAAAACTCGTTAAAAATGTTCATTCAAAATAGCACCGGAAACTCACTCTCTGACATTGTCGGGCACAATAAGATTCTTCTGACTCAAGAGAATCTTCAACTCGTCGATGCTCGAGATGTATATCAATTTATTCTTGAATTTCTCGCTGATGAGAGGCTTAAAGAAGAACCAAACCATTTTGATAAAGGTCGTCGGATGGACGACATAAAGTTGCTTCAAATTCTTCTTAAAACTCCTATCCAATTCTTTGTAAGAGCTCCATAAAAATCCTAATGATGGCTTGCTAATGTCCTTAAGTCCTTGATGGAAGTACGCAATAACATAATCGTTCTGAACATATTGCTCCATTGTTTTGATGATAAAATCAATAAATAATAAATTGTTGAGGTTTTTACGTTCGGGAAGTCTACACGCATAAATTGCAATTATTGGCTGTCCATTCTTATCAGTTCCAATGTAATCAATGAATTTACGCTTGCTAAAGTCTAATCGTATCGCATCCTCATCTATATCTGGTGGCTTTAATTGCTCCTCATAATTATCAGCATCTAAATTCGTCAAATTTGATGTCGATCGTACTGGACCTTCAACTTCGTTAAAATCACCCGACATAAAGCTCTCATCTTCGAATAAAATTTGACTGTTATCATTCAATTCAGGCGCAATTTGTGTAAGTTCAGAATCATCAAATTCTAAATTAGGCTCATAATCATGCCAATCTGATAAGCTTGGATGTGGATCTTCTGTCTCAAATGGGCCTATATTGGCAGCTGCAAGTCGGCGAGATTAAAAAGAAATGAAAATGTTTATCACATATTGTTTAATTAAGTATTTTGTGACAACAAAACAGGTTTCTCAAGTACATTGAAGGTCTTGAAAATAAAAAAAAAGCACTGTAAAGTCAAGTAATTAGCATCATTGACATACAAAATACGAAAAAGTCTTTTATCTTCTTGCTTTTGCTCAGCAACTTATTCATATCTTAACGGCACAGCCTAACTGACAATACAATACACAATAAGTAATAAGCAGCACAGAGAGCACACGCGAAATTATTTTTATTTGGTCTTTATCTTGTTAAAGACACCACCGTTCGAAAGAGCAATCAACCGTTGTCGTTCAAACGATACTTAGTTGTGTTCCAATCGCTATTTCATTCACAAATGCCTGCCTACCTACTGTAAAAATTTGCATCTCGCAGCCATGATGTAATTTTGAGTGCTGCGGCCTTCACACTAGTAATATATTATCGAAATATTATTTTTTTTAACGCCTTACTTGTGTGTGATTTCTTTAATTCCACTTTTCTTTCATTTCGATAACCTTTTCATACTTTAGTAACTTTTTTGATCAATGCAACATTCTTGGCTAGAAATAACTTTCATTTGTTATGTGCTTTTGATTGCTGCATTTTACTATCCAATGTAAAGGTGCTTTATGAGCACGCAAGGCTGTGCGATTTTGATTGATTTCTTGTTGTTGAAAAGCTTTTGGAATTACGTACGTATTTTAGAGCTTTTTAAGAAATACGTACGCATTTGAGATTTTGATTACGAATGTATTTTACGCTTTCTAGAAATTACGCACGTATTTTTGAGCTTTCTAAGAGTTATGTACGTTTTTGAGCTTTTACGCAAGTATTTTTGAGCTTTTTAAGAAATACGTACGCATTTGAGATTTTGATTACGAATGTATTTTAAGCTTTCTAGAAATTACGCACGTATTTTTGAGCTTTCTAGGAAATACGTACATATATGAGCTTTTTGTGCACGAAAGCAGCAATTATGGCTCAAAAACCAAACTTAACAGCCTAGAATAGCCGTTAAAACTCAACAGCACATGTCTATAAATACAATAATCGCAAGCCATGTGTCAAAACGACTTCAGGATATGAAATAATATGCGAATTACTAATCCATTTATTTTTTTAATGGAAATTTTAATTAGATTTCAGGTAATGTTTCACATGTATTTTTTGTTTCGCAGACAGTAAGTTGAGCGTATAGACCACCATTGATGAATCAACAATAAAGCAACAACAACAACAGCAGCAAGAAATTGCAACCCCAATTTATTATTACCCTCTGCGTGTCTACTTTTCATTTAGCAAATGCTTAGTTCATGCAAAAAATATGAGTTTCCTAGCAGTTGTTGCTGCTTGTTGGTAAGAATTAGCATAAAAACAATAATTTTCAAGCCTGTAGAATCATTTTAAACTTTTTTTTATATGACTTAGGAACAAGGAAAAGTGTGAATTTTCCAAATAATGTCTATAAAAATTTGTCATCAATCAGCAAGTCGAGCGATAATGTTGGAACTTTATGAGCACATATTTTGCAATAACAATTTTGTTCCCGAAGATAATGAAAAATGGGAAATCAAGTAAAATGTAATGAGCTTTATTTATAGACTCACTCGCATGTGTGCAAATATTTAGCTTAGAATTTCGTTTCACAGCTCTCTTATTAATACATTTTATTGTATTGTAAAGCATAACTTCCGCTTTTGCGTATTACAAGACGACTGCTTATTCGCAGAAATACTTCAGATTCCATGTGATTCATCATTATTTAAAAGAAGGAATTGCTTGACATTTTTGGTTGGTAATTTGAGAAATTAATGGGTCTATCAATTGACGGTGATGTGCTTACCGTACAACTATGTATTTATTTAAAGAAAACAAGATTCATTCATCTTCTTACGAGCATGAGCATACAATGAATCATTTATGAATTTAGGATGAATTGAATACATTTTTCTTAATAAAATAAGGCTAATCAAACTAATGCACATGAGGGTTCTGTCTTTTCTTTGTTTGCTTCCCTTGTTGCACTCTCTGTATTGCTGTACATTATCAATCATATTGACTGTTGCTGCAATTCAGTTTATGTGCAATTCAATCAATTAAATTAGTTTGTGATGTCATGAATCACTCGTATTACATGAGAAATACTTTGACTAGCCTTGACAGTCAAGTCTGAATCAACATTTGTGCCTTATCAAAACATCCAGCAAAGCAACACTGGATCTTGTGAATTTATTGTCAATAAATCAATATGGTTGGGTTGTAAATTAAAATGATAGACGATGGTATAAATTAGAATGATAAAGGCTGTAATACACACCTGGAAATCTCTGTGGCAAACTTTTATTTTCAACAGTTTCCATTTTTGGAATCAACTTTTCTTTTGTGCTGTAATTCTTTCACCTTTTAATCTTAACTTATTGTATTTATTTTATTTTATCACTATTCGTTGGATTATGTCAATTAACGTCACTAATTTCTCAGAAAGACTATGATTCATCAATTTAATTAACTTTGTTTGGTGACATTTCACAAAAATCTTTTTTTTTATGCTTTTTTTGATATTTCCATCATAATAATTAACTTAACGCGACCGTATTATACTTTTAACTTTATAAATGAACAATATTCTGTACATAAATGTATTAAATATACTAATTAAACGTGATAATTAATCGAAGAAATTATTTTTCACAAAAGTTTTTGATTTCTGAATATTTTTACCGAGTTTTTCAGGAAACACTGATTTTTATCCACGAAATGTCTTTGCGTTTGTGTTGCTGACTATTAGCTCTCTACCACTCTCTACGAATAACACGGCAGATTAATTAATTTCACAATTTCTTTTTCGTTAAATTTCTAGCCATAATTTTTTTTGAATTTATTCTCAAAACGTAATTGACATTAGATTCGTTTGTTTTTGCGTGAATAAAATTTAAATTTTAAAAAACCGTTAAAATCTTCAATTTTAAAACATGTCGAAAATATTTTGAATTTGACGAATGTGAATGTAAAATGGTAAGCGCTTCTTATATTCAATAACTTATATATAAAAAAATCAGCAACTTGCACAATAATCCGTTCGAAACGGTTCAAAAATATCGAACTGACACATTCAAATCTTTCGCAAACGTTAGTATCGATTATTTTAAAGCAGTTTTTGACAGGAGTTCCTTATTCAAATAGAAAGTTATTACATTTAAAGTCACTAGCATGCTCAAACTTATCAGCAACTCTTTAATACACATTGAAAAGGCAAAAAGATTCAACGGTTTTTCAAAATTCAAAATAAAAAGGGGTAAACAACGTTATTGGAGAAAAGAAATATTGAAAAATGCCAATAATTTCAAAATTATCCAATATTACCCGGCTTTCAAGCCTTTTGAGGTCACCAGCAGCATCTAGTATCATTCAGAATGGTAAGTAAAACATGTTTATAAAAGAATTATAGAGAAACATTCCATATTTCCATGCAAATTATCAAAACAAAAAATTTCTGAATGATTAAATAATCAAAACAAATTTTGACAAAAATTAATTAATGTACATTTCTTGTAGCTGCTCGTAACATGAGTGCACATGGTCCACGTGTGTTTCCAATGATCCCAACACGAATGCAATGGCACAAATTCAAGGATACGTTTCATTTCTTTGTCATGCTAGGTGTTATTCCTGTAACTGGCATCATCTTCTACTCTAATGTCTTCATTGGACCTGCTCAATTGACAGAAACACCTGAAGGCTATGAGCCAAATCATTGGGAATATCACAGACATCCAATTTCAAGATTCATTTCCCGATATATCCATAACTCACCCCAGGAAGAATACGAGAAGCAATGTCATGTAATTAATGAGGAAATGCAAAAGATGAGACTTCGTAAGTTGGAAGCTGAAATTAAGGCAAAGATGGCTGAGCGTCGTGATTATCAAGCTTACTATTATCGTCCAGTTATGGCTAAATATCACAGAGTTGCTAAACAAGTTGCTGACGAACTTGAGGCACTTGATGGTGAACGCTAATTACAAATGAGTAACATTTACTAAATGTGCTGTAGAATATTATTTGAAATATATTTAAAAAATAAATTAAAATCGCATTTTAAATTTTCGCCAATCAATTCAAGTTTCCGGTGCCTGCTCGTGGCTGTTCATTAAAAATTCTTTATGCACAAATCAATAATCGATCAAATTCCTGGAATTATTCTTCATTGAATCAATAAGTCACGTCTTATTCTATCAATTCGTTTTGTTGTTGGTTTGTTCTTCTGCATGCAGATGAAAATACATTAAGATTATTTCTACTATAATAACATTAATTATTCAAAATTAAAAAAAGGAAATGAGCACGAAGAAGGTAGCCAAAGAGAAATGGACAATTTTCATAAGAAAAAAATTATTATGATTGCCGGAAATTTGTGATTTTATCTGCTGCTGCTTTTAGTCTACTAAGTAACATACACGGCATTTCAAATTATGCTTATGATGATGTCATTTAATTACTAATTTGTGGACGAAGAGAATTTCAGATTAAGCTTCTTATTTCGGAATTCTGGTAATGATTTTCAACCGAACGATGTCTATGAGTCTTGTAAAATGTTTCAAAATTAACGGTCTTAAAATGTTTTAAGTTTTAGAACCTCACAAGTTTTTCTTATCAAAACCATATAATTGTTTAAAACAGAACGTTTGAAGGGTTTTGATTACGACTTTAATGCCGTTGTACAGTTCTCAAAATTTCTTGTATTTTTGTAAGGTTTTAAAGAAAGTGAAACATTTGTATGGTTCTAAATGAGAATTTTATTACAATTGTACGGATTTTAAACATTAATGGAATTTTGTTATTTCAACAATATATAACTTGGCAATATTTCAAGTTTGAATCACTAAAATCCAATTCTGACTCATAAAAACTCAGTCAACAGTACTAAAACATATTCAATCATAAAAATCAGAGGTCGAAGTCGATGAAGCAAACTCACTTCACTTCACTAAAATTTCAATCGGTTTCAAGTCAGCTCGAGTGAACTCATTTTTTTCGTGTTCACTCGAGTCGACTTTTAACCGAGTTGATTTTTTCGTGTTCACTTTAGTCGACTTGAAACCGACTTTATTTTTTCGTGTTCACTCGAGTCAACTTTTAACCGAGTTGATTTTTTCGTGTTCACTTTAGTCGACTTGAAACCGACTTGAGTTCACTAAGGAAAAAAAATGTAATATACCAAACTGATTTCTGCTAGTGCTTGTGAAGTATATGTGATTACATACAAAATTGCAGAATTTGTCCTTTTTTACTTTTCATAACCATAAAGCAAACTAAACGAATTAATTTAAAATATTTTTTTGATTTCATATATGTTATAAATGTTTTGCACTATAGATCATTTTTCTGATTTGAAATTATTTATTACGAACTGCTACAATTATGAATGAAATTATTTTAATTCACACCATATTTCCAATTTTGGTGAATATATTTTAATCTCATATTTATTTGTTTGACAGCATTGATATATTGATAAGTGCACTGAATGAATCGTAAATTCTATTTTTGTTCTCACTTGTTTTTAATTTCACCATTAAATAAAACACTTCTTTTTTAATTATAGAGTTAAATTTCTTTAAGGTACAAACATAAATAATGAAAAAAATTTAAAACTTGAATTATAATAAACTGGAAGTTTGAAAAATATTTCAAATTAATTCGTTTAGTTTGCTATATGGTTATGAAAAGTAAAAAAAGACAAATTCTGCAATTTTGTATGTAATCACATATACTTCACAAGCACTAGCAGAAATCAGTTTGGTATATTACATTTTTTTTCCTTAGTGAACTCAAGTCGGTTTCAAGTCGACTAAAGTGAACACGAAAAAATCAAGTCGGTTTCAAGTCGACTAAAGTGAACACGAAAATATCAACTCGGTTAAAAGTCGACTAAAGTGAACATGAAAAAATCAACTCGGTTAAAAGTCGACTCGAGTGAATACGAAAAAAATGAGTTCACTCGAGCTGACTTGAAACCGATTGAAATTTTAGTGAAGTGAAGTGAAGTGAAGTGAAACGACTTCACTTCGCCAACTTCGACCTCTGATAAAAATGCTCTTCCAAGAAAAGCGGAAATCATCGTAATTCTTATAAAGTTCTAAGGCATTCATCATCGAGCATCACAAATTGCATAACACATAATCTAATCTGAGAGTTAACATTAAATATTGTCGACATGCAGCTTGCTCATAACTGCAGCAGTGATAAGGAAGAGACGCTTCAGCCATTTGATTTCTAATTTCCCGTTGAAGCATTAATTTTTCATCATTAAATAGTTATGATATAATTTATTCACTTCCCGCACAACCAATGCATTTTAAGTTTGATTTCCTTTCAGTCAGCATCGGTCTGTCTTTACATTTTTTTGTATCTATCATACTAAGCGATTAAAAGGGAAATCAGCATTAAAAGGAAATTCTATAAAAAAAAAAAAAATCTTGAATGCTGAAACACATCGGAAATTGATGGCAATAAAGTTAAGTTGGTGCTTAAAAAATAATTCTGACGGGAAGTGAATATTTTTTTTTTCTCAGAAGAAACTGCTAGATTTGTGGTTTTTGATGAAAATCAATGTATCCTGTACACATAACTAAATTATAAACCCTATTCAGCTTCCCTTTTTCTCATGAATGGATATAAAGAATAAATTTATGCACCTGCCGGTTTTTTTTTTTGCAGCAAGCATGTATGTACAACAAGAAAAATTTGTTATTGAGCACAGCCAAAAAGGAAGAGGAGATGGAAAGGAAGAAGAACACAATTTCATCATCAACATAAAACCTACAAAATTAAATAAAATAAAAAATAAAAAAAAGAGTCCAAAACAGAATGATGATTTAGAGTGTGTGCAGCCACAACTCAATGAAAGGAAGCCGTATTTATGTTTAACATTCTAAATTTGTTACGGTGAGACAGAGAGCGAATAAGCGAGAGAGAACGACAATGTGCATATTTTTAAAATCACATAAAATATGAATAATATGCATGCTTGTTTTCAACCTTGAAGAAGGACACGATATCGTGTTATGAAACAACACAATCGAAGGCAGTCGAGAGATTGTGTAAGAAACAGAGAGAAAGAGATGAGAGAACAGCAAACAAATAAAGGCTGATGCAGGATGAAAAATGTGTATCATAAAATTGCGATATTCATTCACCTCAACATATATTATAATAAAAGTCCGCATTCTTAATTCCCTCCATCCAGTCAGCCAGTCGAGTCGAGTCCGAAAAGAAATAAAAATTTAAATGAGCACACAGCAAACTTTAAGCATCCATCGATCTTTACTCGAATCATTTTTTATTCTTTTACAATCGCTCGACATTCATCCCTCTCTTCTGCGTAAGTCAGTAGCATTTCTTAATTTTTTGTTTCTTCTTTTTTTTTGTGCTGTGTGCTGCTTCATGGAGAAGATCAAATGAAGAAGAATATGGTAAGAGAAGAAGGAATAAAAAAATCGTATTAAAACAAGAAAAAAAGAGGAGATCAGTCTCTGTATAAGAAGGCACGAGAAACTGGTATCTAGTGAGCGCATAATGGTGGACTTTAGACGCATTTTCTATCTGCAATAGATGTTAATAGATAGTTTGAATTCACGTTGAGATCCTACTGATCTAGTATTAGAGACTGCATCATGTCAGTAACAAGATCACAAAACAAAACTTTAGCAAAATAACAAAATTGTTTAGAAAAGTACATCTTTAAGGTATAACTGGACCAATTAGCTCAATTAAAGAGCTGTTCTGATGATCTCTAAACCACAAATCCATGTTCTCATAACGAAAAGGTTGGAGTTTTACACTGTTGTCAGCATTGTCTTGATTCTCACTCTGATCTTACAACATTATTAATATTTGCATTCCTTGCTTAAACCAGTGACAAGATGACTGACCAGCCTTTTCAAGATCACATTTTCAAATGTAAATTCGAGTGTCTGAAAACCTGATTTGTTTGATTAAAGTTAAGCTGAATTTTTCTGAAACAAAACATCTCTTCAAACCGAGGACCCCCAGAAAACAGACTCTAGCTTCAGCTCTTTAGAATATTCCATGTTTGATGAATTAAAAGTATGTCAAAAAAAATCAATCGTGTATCAAAAAGACCAACCAGACAAAAGCAAACAACATTCAGCACTTTACAAACCAAAACTCTCAAAAAAAGAGCTAACAAAGATGTGGAAGCAAAGCGATAAAAAGACAGTTGTAAAAGACAAAAAAAAAATGGTATGATGGATTAAAAAGAAGTCCGTCGAATGAATGCGGAGTCATAATAAAAGATGAGAAATTTAAAAGCATAGCGACATGGTGAGGAGGGCACAGACCTGGTGAAAAAATGAAGAATAATAATAACAACAAGAAGTAATAAGAGGAAAGCAAGATAGGCACACAATTGAAGAACAGAACGGAGGAGAATCGTGGTGTGGATATTTAATATTGACGCGTGTTCGAGAGTAAAAAATAATAATTTTTATAATATCCCATAATATCATATGATATTTCCAGGAATTGAATGCATGTTGAATTTTATAAATCATCACGGCAATTTTTTAAGAATTCTTCTCGCTATCTTTCCACTTCATCTACTTCTTATTATATTTTTTTACTATAGAATTGAATTTTAAAATCTTAATTTTCATATATGGAAGTCATCAAGGAGCGATTATACATGCCGCGTAATTAATAATAGACATATTTCTGGTAAAGCCTATCAGACAATCAATGTTTGGATTTAAAGGAACTAAAATAAAGATTTATTATTGATAATTCCTGTGCGTTTAATTAGTGACATTGTAATCTGTTGCTGGAAATTTACGCAATTATTGAAAGATCCTCAATTAAGGCTTGTTGATCAACAGGATAGATTTATAAAGAATGGGACAAGATATGACCGGAAACCTACTAGACTGAGCATTAATTACTGCAATCAACTTAAAGATACAATTATTGAAATTCAGCTTTAGTTCTTTGAACTAGGATTTAATCAGAA